GCACTGATAAATAATTCATTTAATTCACAGTTAATATAAAGCCCATATATTAAGATAATAGATATTGGTTATCTAAAAATACTAATACAAATGAGCCTTAGCGCAGATAATAAACATTTGGTTATTGTAAGGCCGAAGGTTTTTTCTTACGTTTTCGTACTTGAAGAACACACTGGCTAGTGAATTTCTAACCGAAATGAATCAAATGAAACTGCTTCACTGAAAATCCAAACCAAACGCAGAACTGTCGTTTAAAAATAACGAAGAAGGTATATGGAATGAAATTAACAAAAATTTTCTGATGTAATTTATAACAAATTGTGCGTGGCCCCAAAAAGACTTTCATTCGGTCTCTTAACATTTTCGATTGTCCTGAACAATTCCGTTATCGCACCGCAAATGGGACAATGAGATCCATGTAATTGTGGTTGTGGGTCCCAGGCACAAAACGAATGAAATACTGTATTGCAACGACTAAAATTCCAAGTGATTTATTCACCAGTTTCACTTGGAGTCTAGGCAAGATTGCATATATCACAGTTTGTTTCAAATTCCACGTCCGTTAACCTGCGCATCCAAGAAATGTTGTCACACCTCAGGGAATTACACTCATGATTGATATGCACATTTCCACGAACAACAGTTCAGTAACCTTCAATAAACTTACAATAAATGATGGCTCGACATTGAGTGCTCATAGCAGTCCTTCATGGACAATGTAATAACAGTATTCAAATTATCTCCTTCGTCCAATCGGCTGTGAGGATCCGCTAGTTTTTCTACGGCCATTTCTCAAACAAACATATTTAATGTACGGCTTTTGATCCTTATGGAAATGAGAATCGCGCAGTGCATAATGGCACTACGTCGCTATTTCATAAGTTCTGATGGAGCTCTTTAACGCTTCAAGTGATTGGAACGCTATCAGATGCAATGCACTCAAGAATGCGTTATCTTTGTCTGTGACAACATGAGAACTTGCACTTTGTACGTTATTAACGTCCATCATTTGAAAATGTGCCCTATGGATAAGCCATTAATAATAAATAAATACTTACATTTTATATGAATTTTAAGAAATAACTAATTATTACCAATTTAAAACTAATAATTTAATTGGACGAAACAGAATGAAAAAATACAAGGATCGCCGTGCGTCTAATGATATTCCACAAAAATAGGCTTATGATCATAATTATGAGGAACTGTACTTGCATACAACGTTATAAAATACCTGATCGGATTATAATGACTTAGTAACTAGTCAGACAAAAATAGGTTGCATAGATATGTTACAAGAATTGTTACATACCATACATGTTTCTTGTAATAAATACACAATGTCATAACTATATATGAGACATAGAAAATGATTAAAAATATTAGTAACCAGATTCTTTATACAATTAGATCAACCGACTTTAGTCATTCGTGTGAACCTGAGTATGATACCGTTTAGATAAAATTATCAATCATACTGATAAATTCGTTATAGTTTAAAGGTAATGTGATTACGAACTGAGGTCAACTGAAGAGCTATTGATAATTAGATTACACAGGGCAGACATAATAATGTCATAAAACGCCTAAGACTTAATAATTCATATATTTTATTTCGGACGATTACAAGTAATGTTAATGATTATTTTACGAAAAGTTTTTCATATACACCAGTTTAATCTTTTATATTACTTTTACGCCTTCTTGAATTCTGACTACATCAAATGAGATTCAGTTAATCCTTATGATCAAAAAGGTTATTAACCCATCAACCACCAACTAATGCGTAAATTAACATTATTTATGTATTCAGTAAAAAAGTATGCATGTAACTACGGTTTTATATTTATTTTGTAGTTAATGGACCGTATATGGAAAGAAGAAGGTATGGATATGTGCTTAACATCATATGGTTGTTTTGCAACAGGATATGAAATGGGAATCATTGAAGCAGTACGTGATTCACGTACTGTAATGTCTATACAAGGTGAACGTTTACGTTCCGCTTTACAAATTGATTCATCACAGTTATATAAATGGTTAATGCAACATGCTAAACAAAAGGCAAGACAGTTAAATCATTCACCATTAGGTGATAATTCTGCATATGAACGAATGATACGTACATTTACTATGTCATGTGCTGGTTATTGTGTTGCTACATTTATTTTAGGAATTCGTGATAGGCATCCAGATAATATAATGGTTGATTCAACTGGGCGATTGTTTCATATTGATTTCGGGCACATTTTAGATAATCGTAAGAAGAAGTTTGGTTTTACTCGTGAACGTGTACCATTTGTTTTGACAAAAGATTTTATTACAGTAATTGCACGTGGTAATCCTGATGCTGGTACAATAACAACCACAACTAATACTCCACCATCAGTCACCCATAATACTATCGGAGGAATATATGGTAATATGTATTTTCAAGAATTCACTGATTTATGTGGTAAAGCTTACCTTCTGTTACGCAAACATTCAAATCTCATATTAACATTATTAGCTATGATGTTACCTTCTGGATTACCCGAACTAACTTCAGTGTGTGATTTGGAACATGTAAGAAAGACTTTAGCTGTTGAAATTGATAATGAACAAGAAGCACTTGCCTATTTTCATCATAAATTTAATGAAGCCTATTCTGGTGCATGGACAACAAAAATTGATTGGTTTTCACATTGGATGAATACATAATTGACTGCACAAAATATTACTCATACTGTTACATGAATTCATTTAATTTATTTTCTGTGAGCAATATGATTTGATATATTCATTTACTTATCACACTGTATCGCTTAAAAATATTTTTTTATATTCTACTGATATTCTTCAATGCTTTGTATCCAAATGAAACAGAGTTTTATCTTAAACCTATAGTTTCTTGAAGCAATGAAATATACAATGCAATTGGAAGTATAATTTTATCAATAAAATTCGACCTTATTTGAAGTTGGGTTGGTTAATTCCATCTCTTAAATTGTTTGTCATTATTGCATTATATATCAGCATCCTACTTTCCAATATACTAGGAGGCTTAAAAATATCTAAACTTTGGATTATTAATTGAGTAAGAACGTCTGCTAAATTTTAATATGATATTCTTCCTAACTAATTTAAAATTACGCAGTCTAAATACTAGTACGAATCTAGAACTGGAGCTTTAGCTACTTAATTCAGTCTAGCAACTAGCTCCAAGCTGTTCATCCGCATTTTATTTCAAAAGTAATGATCTCTAGACTGTCGACTTTCTAAAGTACGAACTAACTATAACATGGTTCATTAATATACTTCTAGTTCATACATTAAAAATTAACCAATACTCACTATGAGCAGATTTTCGTTCAAAATTTGCAAAGTTCTGTGACTCGTTGAATAAAAAGCTATTGTTTAGGTTTTATTTATTTCAAACTAACATCAATGACTTCAATCCTCGCTTAGATATCTGGACACAACGTCCTTTTCTCTACTGATCTCAGTCACTCTAAGACACAAATCGTGCATAGAAGATTCGTTAGTAAAGATCAATTTAAGCGTCTAACACATGCAGTTAAATGCATGTACAATGACCTTAGAAAGGAAAGCAAAAATCTATTAAACTAAAAGAGCTACGGCATAACAAGAAAATAGTGTCTTCAAATTCCATTAAAATAAAGGATGAAAGAAATAAAAATCGTCAGCAATTGTTGGACACATATCGATTTAAGGTGATTTTCATCCAGTCACCTTTCTACGTTCTTCATTATATTAATTTGTTCTTACTAAATTCTATTCATTGGCTTTGAATGTGTTTTCACTTGTACCGATTATTCAATACTCAGTTAGTTATTTACTTTTCCCCTCGTATTGATTAATTCCGTGTGATTTTGTGTCGAGTGACAAATGCTCAGTTTCATAAAACAAGTAATCAATCATCATTGAATAGTCGAATAAAATTGAGTGCAAATTATTTCTTCTGGGGCCTTTATTGAAATGTCTTCCTTCAAAAACTTATATTCTCTCTTTTTCAACCACAAGAAGAATTGTTGATGAATTTTTATGTGTATTAGTAATCCGGTCTATCCAGATCCCATTTCGTAATAGGATCTCCCAATCGTACGTAATCAGAAAATACTGAACTCAAATTCAATTCATAACAGCAAATGGCTTATTTTATTCGGGTTTCTATGAATGCTTAACTCCTAAATTCGAAGTATGAGTCAGTGTTGTTTGAATTATAAACTGGAGATTTATGATTTCGATTACGAGGTGATTCATCAACGCGTAGTCAAGTTTCAAAAGTGTTCAGTTTTTAGTAGCTTTTCAACTTTTTGTGACATTCCTGTTGGAACGGAACTTTAGGTTTATGTGTGTACTAAAAAAGAATAGCCAACAAACCAGTTAAATATATTATTTTTTTCCCTAATTTAATTGTTAATTTTAGTACGAAAATTTAATTACGTTAGTTAGTGACATCAAACTAACCATTTATACACACCAAAGCAAAGGACCTAAGAAAAAGGTGATTTATAAATCATTATCATTCATTTCAGATATAGATTTGATGATCTATAGATTGCATACCAGTATGATCTTTTTAAATATTAAATTGCACAGAGATTTTTCAAATTAGTTACATTTGTAAAAAAATATATGAACTCCTTCGTGTTATAACAGGAGAATGGATTTTTTTTTGTGGGTACTCAAATAGCGTCAGACTTTAATAGTCAGTAGTTCCATTAATAAAAAATGTGCTAAGTCTTAAACTGATTTCAATTCGAGTTAATCGAACCGTCAAATAAAAAATCTGAATGACAGTTCATTAATTGTATGTGACTCATTACTCTGAAACAGTAAATTAATTTTAAGTTAGGTGAGTTTTAACTTGACTAAATAGCCTGATTGTGCTTAACACATACTCAACCAATCGAAACAATAAATAAAGCCACAACCGATACTTTGAGAAAATGAATGAAATTGTTTAACGGCAATGTGTATAGGAAAGAATGCACAAAAGAGAACAAAAATAACTTTAATCTAAAAAAGATCGATAAGGAAATATATATATGATGTAATACAAAAATAGCATATTTCTGCAACATTAATTAGTGGTGCACCCATTGGTCAAGTTAAATAGTTTATTGTTTATATTAAATGGATCTTTGTGTTAAGCAGATGTTATTTAGTGTTATTCGTTAAATGAATAAAGGATAAGATGTTATCACTTCGATTTAAACATTCGATGCACTTATTAGGGATAAATACAAAAAAAATAGAAGCAACTGATTTGGCTTTAGGCAATTTTGCCACAATGTTAATTTTGGTGATGTGGGAGGTGAGAGGAATGGATTAAACGCTTTAGAACTCGATTGGTCACGGAAACGATATTTTCATGATTTTGTTTCTTTCCTTGTGAATTTGTTGAAGAGCTTGTTAATGCATGAACCGTCTGAAAGAAAAGAAATCGTATTGTTATGTATGTATCAGACTACCTGGTTGGGAAAGGGTTCGTATGATAACAGATCAATGACTGGAGACTGGATGATATGCCTTAGATGAACCTTACTTTCGTTAATCATATCTAGCTGTGGCCATTGAGAATAATCAAACAATGAAAATATGGAATTCACAAGCAGTCAATCAATTGTCATAGTGCCAAATCTAAAACGAGACTGATAGATGAGAGACTTTTCTCGTTTGTTCAGAATATATTTCTGTTATAGGAGAAATATAATATCCCATGATTATTACCATAGCCAATGATGCATAAATAATTAAAAGTTAATGTAGTACAATTATTATTTCAAGCTGTTTTGATATTCAGCCTATTTGTGTGATAACTCTCATCGTAATGGATAGACTGTTTAACACTGATGGTTGATTTTAGAGACTCAACAGAAAGATTAGTGAGTACATGCATATTATAACTTACGATACACAAAGTTTGTGATAATAAGAAATACATACACCTATTTTCAGCAAACAGATGACACAGAGGAACAATAGGAACCAAAGTGTTGTGAAGAATTTTCCAAGTGTGTTTGTAACTGAATTGGAAGGCATATTTAGATCCAAGATAATAGTTTTAAGGATTATAATTTTACAAATTACTTGGTATAATTTATAATTGTTTTTCATAAAATTAGGTTATGATGTGCGAGATTTGTTTTTTACCGATCCCAAAAACTTATTCCCACTGAGCTGTTGGCGTTTTGCTACGCCTATCATTTATAATCAGTTGGAGACTAACCCTCAAATGCCCTGGTACGGCCGAGAGTGGGGAGAGTCCGCTCTGCTTCTCGAAATGCCCTCATATGGCCACATGTATATAGCCTCTGTCAGGGAGGTCCCAATCACTGCCTTCTCGCGGTGGGGGTATTGTTTACGAAATTGAGAGGACGAAAAGCGAATGTCCGGCGCTTTAACTGGGTTGGTGGACATGAAGAGTCCATCTAGGGGAATTGGAAAACCCTGATTCCAAACCAGTGGTGCACATGGACTCCAGTATCCTGAAGGAACAAATAGCGTATGGACCAATTATTGGTCACCGGCTACCATGGGACTGCATCTCTTGATGTTGCTCCACTGCCTTGTGGACCAGACCTTTAGGTCAAAGGCTCCGGGTGTGGCCCCCTAAGAAAACCACCTACTTCGGTTTGGGTACCAGGGTAGTATCACAGTCCTCACATAAATCAAATGAGATTTGTGTGGCGCATATGTGTCTGGTGCCCCCTTGTACCAATATCTATGTGTTTAAATAAATAAAATCACATACTACAACACCAACAATAGATATTTTAATCAAGAAAATATTGGCATAGAATATCCCATAAAGATACCTTATGACGAAATTTCGTTCCTCAACAAATGGAAATTACAGACTTACGTCATCTTTTTTTCTGGCGAAATAACTGGGGAAGCTGCATGGAATTGTAAAATGCCTGCGTAGCACTGTGAATCTGTTACCAGTTTTGACATTACCACAGTTCTGATTATGAAGGACACATTCTGACCATGGTATATGACAACCAGCATTACGTACTAATCCAGTACTGATGCGCAATTCTTGTTCTAATTCAGAAAGTGCTTTGGTCTGTTTCATATCTATAGTTACATAGTTTACTCCTTGTGAGGAACAGTCATGACAGTTATTGCCAACTAGGTTACAGCTACAATCCAGAAACTCAGTTTCAGAACAATTTAGGCCAGAAGATAATGCACACTGTAAAGATTGAGATGAGTGAAGACTGGTTTTATTCTTACAAATATTACCATCATTCATTATATCATCCGATGTTTTATGATGACACATATTTGTCATTGAACTATTTACTTTGTCAGATAGTGTAAGATGAGCATAATGTAATTGTGGTGTTTTGGGAATAAATGAAGTATCATTGGAAGTAACGTTATTCGTAGATGTTGTCAGCCTTGGTGGAGTTGGTGGTCTATCCAGAAAAGAATCTGAAAGAATAGGTAGTGAGGCTGGGACACGTGGCACCAAAGAGGAATCAGAACTAGATAATAAATCAAAATATAATGATTAGCTTATATAATTTAAAGAATGAATTCATTAAAAATTATTCATATATTGATACAATTTTCTGAGATACTAATAGAATAATGAAGGCTTGGAACAGGAATATTTGGTAGAAAGTGCAATCAAACAAAAGTAAATAATTTAAGTTTTTTTCTCTAAAGCCGCTCATTTGTGAAGATAATCAAAAGTTTTGACTTGAACTGTACATTTGGACTAACAGCATTATAAAATTATGTTTGTTTAATATAAACACTAATCAGTTACATTAAAATTAACAGGGATTCGCATCCATGTTAATAATCAACAAAGATTCGACAATATCTATTTCTTTAAAAGTTATACCCTATTAATTTATCATTAGAAAACTCATCATCTATTTTTTAATTTTCAACTAAACAGAATAATAAGTTGTTGCTGTTATTATTCGTTAAAACTTAATCACTAAGATAAAACAAAGACTTACATTGATAATTGTACAGATGTTGGGTCTGCAAAACATCTACGTTCTGAATTATTTGGTGAAAAATTGATATAATACACTGTTGCATTTGAGTGATTTAAAACCGTGAATCCACTTTTCTGTAAACCTAATAAATTCACATAATGTTTAGGATTTTTGAAGACGATATCTGTATCCACTGGTAACTTGAAGGTATTACTATTATTGTTGGTTATTTGATCAACGTCTTGTTGTTTATTCCCAACGTTATAATTGTGAATAGATTGCGTTGAAGTAGATGAAGTTAAGATCGATGAATTTTTTTCAGATAACGGTTTTAACGCAACATGAAGGTTATTCGGGAACATATTAATATACGGTCTAATGTGAAATTTAAAATTAGTTTGATATAGGGTTAGAAAATGATAATTAAACAATATAATTCAAGTTCATTTTGACAAGGTGCATTAATAACATTAACGCAAATAATCAATTATAAAATTCCTATAACTGAATTTCTCCAGACGTTATTTCGGAAATAAAACAGACAGCTCAACTATCACAATGTATAATTACTGTTGGGACGTCTTAATGTGTTAATATTTGACATTTTTATAGTGATGTAACAGTTTACTTACCTGATAGCTTTCTCGTAATTATATAATGAAGGATTTACTATTTGGTATCTAGTTTAGATCAAGTGCCGAGGGACTGGAAAGAAGGACACCTCATCAAGATTCCAAAGAAAGGAGACCTGAGCAAATTTGAAAACTACAGAGGCATTACACTACTATCAGTACCAGGAAAAGTTTTTAACAGAGTTTTGCTGAGCCGAATGAAAGATGCAGTAGACACCCAACTTCGAGATCAACAAGCTGGATTCTGGAAGCATCGGTCGTGCACAGACCAAATTGCGACACTACGGATCATCGTCGAACAATCAGTTGAGTGGAACTCGTCACTGTACATCAACTTCATTGATTATGAAAAGGCATTTGACAGTGTAGACAGGAGGACGTTATGGAAACTTCTTCGACACTACGGAGTTCCTGAGAAGATTGTCAACATTATCCGCAACTCATATGATGGACTACAGTGCAGGGTTGTGCATAGAGGACAGCTTGAGTGCTGTTAGAGCTATGAGGGCGATTATCACTTCCAGGTTGCCCACACCGTGGAAGAGTTCTTCTGGAGGTACCTGAAAAGGAAATCGGATTAGAGGTGGTCTTAGTGACCAGGGAGCGTGACCGCAGTGCCCAAGGGACAACTGCTTGAGGTCGGTCACACACGACCTTTTTATGGGTAATTTTTGTGTTAGCTCCGTACTTATTGAGACCTTACCGCCGGAGATGGATATCCGTGGGATAAGGCGAGGTGTGCATTTTTAGGGTCGACCTTTTCTAACCCCACCCCTCCTTGTGGGAAGGCAGCATCGCTGTCATGCTGGTTGTCTGAAGGAAACACCTTACTGCTGTCACACCTCTGTACAGTCAGCAGTACGACTTCGCCTTCGGACCTTGGGTTTGTTGCTTTTAGTCTTACCGCTCTTCAACAGACCTTTCTGACGTGGTAGGACCTTCAGGAACAGTTGTTTCAGTCAGTATAGCTCGGTTGCTTCATCACGATAGGCAAGCCCGACCACCACGTCAAGTTAGCAACAACGGTCGGAGGACAGCTGACAGATGCATTCCAAGTAAGGACTGGAGTCAGATAAGGCTGACTACTCTCTCCCTTCCTCTTTCTTCTGGTGGTCGACTGGATTGTGAAGACCTCAACATCTGAGAGAAAACACGGCATACAATGGACAGCTCAAAATCAATTAGACGATTTGGACTTCACAGATGACCTAACCCTCCTATCGCATACACATGAACAAATGCAGATAAAGAAAGCCAGTGTAGCAGCAGTCTCTGCATCAGTAGGCCTCAACATACACAAAGGGAAAACCAAGGTCCTCAAATTCAAAACGAAGAACAGCAATCCAATCACTTGATGGCGAAGCTCTGGGAGATGTAGAATCCTTCACATACCTGGGAAGCGTCATCGATGAACAAGGAGGTTCAGATGCAGACGTAAAGAGGATTGCCAAAGCAAGGGCTGCATTCCTACAACTGAAGAACATATGGAACTCAAAACAACTGTCAACTAATATCAAAGTGAGAATCTTCAATACCAACGTCAACACAGTTAGTTCTATAGTACGGAGCTGAAACTTGGAGAACTACAACAACAACCATCAAGAAGGTGCAATTATTTATAAATGGTTGTCTATGCAAGATATTCAACATCTATTAGCCGGACACCATCAGCAACAGCCTTCTGTGGGAAAGAACAAACCAGCTCTCAGCTGAAGAAATTAGGAAAAGACGATGGAAATGGACAGGACATAAATTACGCAAATCGTCAAACTGTATCACGAGGCAAGCCCTAATTTGGAATCCTGAAGGGAAGCGTAAAAAGAGGAAGGCCAAAGAACACATTACGTCGGGAAATAGCAGATATGAAAAGGATGAATGACAACTGGGAAGAGCTGGAAAGGATTGCTTGGGAAAGGGTTGGATGGAGAATGCTGGTGAGCGGCCTATGTTCCTTCACGAGGAGTAACAGGCGTAAAAAAAATCTAGTTTAGATAACCTCTGGCCCATTGAACACCAGTTAAATAGCTTCATTGAGTGAAATTTATTATAAATTCGAAATTTAATATTTCGAAAAAGTATTGTATTAAATATAAACAAATAGTTATGCTTTTATTATGCTGATAGGTGCACCTATGATATTCAAGTTTTGATAAGAAACTAGATTTATACGTATATTCAATGTCGACATCGCGATTAGTCTAGTGTTGACTATCGAGGAAGAAAACCTAAATATGTGACATTTTAACTCATGGATTAACGCCGAAACTTCTGATAAACCTTTAAACTTTTTGTAATTTGTCAATTTCAACATTGGCAGAACAAAATGATTACTTATCTGAACTGTTATTTTTAAAGTAACCTAACAACAAGAGAAACAGTTAATATAGGTAAATGCAATGTCTGGACAATGTGAGGGATCTGCAAGACTAATCAAATAGCTACGGGAGATACAACTTGAAGGTGCTCAGAAATAGCGAAACCCATTGAACCCAAGCTGGATAGCATAAGTTAGGTACTGGAGGGATGCTGCTATACTCCGGTCACGTAGAGGAAAATTCTCCGTACACTCAAGGAGTTGCTCTGATGTTGCCCAAAGAAGCACGAAAACCACTTATAGGGTGAGAATCTCATGGATCCAGGATTACCAAACCATCATTTAAAACGAAGAATGATGGTATTACAGTAAATGTTATCCAGTGTTATGTACCCACCAATGATAGCAATGACGACGATGAAGATCAGTTTTATGAGCGGTTACAATCGATCATGGTGAAGTGCTCAAGAAAGAACCTAAAATCTTGGTAGGAGATCTAGACGCCAAAGTCGGAATGGACAACACCGGATATGAAGATATCATGGAACGACATAGACTGACTGGGAAAAAGGAATGAGAATGGTGAGAGATTTGCAAATCTAGGTGTATTCAACAAAATGGTTATAGGCGACACAATATCCCCACACAAACGTATGCACAAAGATACATAGGTCTCATCGGATCACACTACAAAGAATCACACCGACCATATTTGCATCAGTAAAAAATTCGGATCAATGGAATATGCAACAACCAGGAGAGGAGCTAACATAGCTTTGGATTACTACCTGATAGTTGCCAAGATGAAACTGAAGCTAAAGCAGCATTGAACAAGTGGAGAAACGGTATTACAAAGGTTCAATGCAACCTTCTTTCGATACTGACAAATTCAACGAATTCAAGATAGCTCTCTCAAAACAGGTTTCAAGCCTTACAGGATCCAATGAAAGTAGAAGAAACTACTATGGGGGAAAATTGGAGAGGGATCAAAGAAACACTAACTTCGACGTGTCAGGAGGTAATGAGCCACAACAAACACCATCATAAAGAATGGATTTCTATCGATAGTCTGAACAAGAATCAAGAAAAGGATAAGAAGAAAGCAATTGACGACAGCCGAACAATACCAGAGAAAGCCAAGGTACAGACCGAATATACAGAATCAGTCAGAAGCGTGAAGAGGGAAATTAGTGCCGACAGGCAGGAATATATAGAATATCTAGTAATAACAGTAGAAAAGCTGCAAATGAAGGAAATATGAGAAAACTATGTGAAACAACGAAGGAGCCAGCTGGCAAATATAGTAAACCAAAACGAACGGTCGCGATAAAAAGACAAGCCAATCACCAAGATTCAAGAACACTGGAATAGATGGGTAAAGCACTTTGAAGAACTCTTAAATAAACCAGCTCCACCAAACCCACCGAAGGTCGAAACACCACACGCAGACATTCCGATAGCTGTCACCACACAAACAATAGAAGGAATCAAGATAACCATCCGACGATTCAAGTATGGCAATGCATCAAGATCACGACCAGCTGAAGCACTAAAGTCAAACATAGAAGTAACTGTAAAGACGCTCCATGTTCTATTCAGGGAGATTTAGGAGGAGGAACAAGTGCCGACAGACTGGAAAAAAGGATACGTCGTCAATATACCAAAGAAAGGAGATCTGAGCAAATGTGAGGACTGCAGAGGCATCACACTATTGTCAGTACCAGGAAAGGTTTTTAACAGTGTTGCTGAACCGGATAAAAGATTCAGTAGACGCTCAACTTTGAGATCAACATTCTAGATTTCGTAAGGGTCGGTCGTGTACAGACCGAATCGTGACACTAATGATCATTGTTGAACAACCAGTTGAGTGGAACTCGTCAACTATACATCAACTTCCCTAACTATGAGAAAGCATTTGACGGCGTAGATAGAGAACTTCATGGAACATCCTTCAATACTCTAGTGTACATGAGAAGATCGTCAACATCATGCGTAATTCATACGACGAATTACACTGTCAGTCATCATCAAATTCAGAACAGTGCATGTGAATATAGTTTCTCTTATGAAATTGTTATTATTTTTTATTTTATTTCAACACATAAATATTGGTACAAGAGGGCACGAAATATATATGCGCCACACCATATTTGTGTGTGTGTGGGCTGTGATACTGCCCGGGTGCACAGACCGAAGCAGGTATGAAATTGTTTAGCTAAGCTGTATCTTGACCAGTCAAAAACAACATAACTCCATCAGACCAGAGCCAAAATAACGTGAGGACTTAGACTCTTTTGAAACAAATAATTTTGTACCGATTTCTTCAGGAGTAAGTCAAAGCAATTAGTCAACGATAAATGGATCACAACTTTAGCTATTTTAGCCGCATGCACATCATCCCACATCAAACACAATAGTTTACGCTGATGTCGTGCCTCCAAATCCAAAATGCAATGCATTGAAGATGATTAACACATACAAACGTCTTGTTTACAAGTGCCTAAACTGAGGGCGGAATAGAGTGCAATATTGTATCGAATCTTAACAACCTGCCAAATATCCTATTTATGACACAAAAGATATAGGATCAGTAAACAGTAACTAGACAAATCATTTATAAACACGATATGTTAATGGTTGCTGTACAAAATAAAAAGCACTTGGACACAAGGAAGGAATAAGTAACAAGCACACTTAATTTTGCACCTTAATCAGAAGACATTAATTAGGAAATGCAAGAAATCATAGTTTCGTCGATTATCCCATTTGTTTAACAGCTTACTTTGCTTGTACGTAAGAAAACTAATTTAGTGATAAAAGTAGTTGTACAATGCAAATTTGTAAGAGAATTGAATATGGTATATACTACTTCTTATTGGTAATAACAGAAGAGAGTTTAATTAAGCCGAAGTAAGGATTTGTTACATAGTTTGATCACCCAGAATATTATTCAGTCTTATATGATAAAATATATCCCATGTATTAGTGGTACAGACAGTCGAACTGTTGAGTACAGATTATATTTTGATATTGAAATTGAGCAACTTGTTGAGAATGAAACCTTTTGGTATGAAAATGAAGTGTGAAAAATTGGTGAGATGCAATAGCTATTTAAATCCTATATGTGAATATTTACATTAGAGTTCATTTTTTCCATAGTACGACAATAAATAACTGATAAGATACACAAGTCAAATAAATCGTAGAGGATACAAATATAGTTGTTAGGTAAATCTTTATAGTAACGTCAAATGCCTGAGTTACTAATGACGCATTCCTGTTGATTGATAAGCAAATTTTTAATTCAAGAGTTGTGTTCAGTATATAATCATGAACAAACACTACCACTTGTCTTTTCAGTATGGGGTTTTGGAGCTTGCTCAATTCTACTGAAATCACGAACCACCACTGAAAACTTGGAAGCACTGGACGACGGTTTTGTCCGGGTAAGAGATTTTCCAACAGAACCCAGGGCCTTCGGTCTCGTGCGAGAATGCTGAGCCGGCATTCAATAGTGTTAATGTCTAACCCCAGTCAATCCACGGCATTACGCGACCATCTCCCATTGACTTTGGTGGGTAGCTGCCTCACAACAGACACGGTTTAACTCTACTGGTCGCGGAACTTACAAACCATTAGCTTTTATATCAAACAGTCCTGACTGTGCACTGCTTAAGTCAATTAGTACATGAATAGGATTCATCGGATCATATAAAGTGACATATATACTTTTAATGATTTGAAAAAGCTATTTTGAAGATGTTCATAAAACGTTCTGTTGAAACTGATACAAATAAGAACATATAATTGGCGGCAAGTTTACGTGTGAGACCCCTTATCGTTTTTAATAAACATCAACCGATGTTGGAAATTACAAGATTGCTTTGTTTTTATTTATTTTAACACATAAATATTGGTACAAGAGAGCGCCAATATATATGCGCCACACAAAACAATGTAACTTCGAAGAGATAGAAAAAAAAAAAAAACTAAGGAGCACAAAAGAAAAAGAGAACGATAACGAAGAGATTGGTGTAATTTAGTGTGGTCGTAACAGTGGAACGGAAAAGTACAATCAGAAGAAATCTTTCAAGCGAGGGAGACACAACCACTTTTTATGAAGAAAGTAAAAGAAGGTTACAGCAGGATCGCCACTGGCTTCTATTCTGAGCCATATCTGATAACGTCTCTAGCCACTGTGTAGCACTATCTCTCAGACCCCAACCAGGGAGTCGTGAAGGACCAACACAAGCCAGTCCTCTGCAGCTTTCTTTCATACCACGACACCATGTCATGCACTGACCACCTCTCCGCTTTCTCCAACCAGTCCCAGAGTCGGCAAATAATGCACGACGTGGAATTCTCTGGGACGACATTCGTAGAACATGTCCAAGCCACCGAAGTCGGTGTTTCAAGATGGTGACACCAATTGAATTATCATCTCTGTGCCCAAACACATGATGCCGAACCTCTGCATTACTGACATGGTGTTGCCACTGAATATCAGCAATCCTTCGGAGACAGCGATGATCGAACACAGAGAGTCGTCTAACGTCCTCAACTCGGAGAGGCCAGGTTTCACAAGCATAGAGCAAAACTGCTCTCACCGACGCGTTGTAGATCCGACGTTTAACAGCCAGACTAACATCACGAAGGCGCCAAAGATGGCCCAGATTGGCATAAGCCACTCTGGCTTTCACTATACGTGCATTGATCTCATCACTCACACCCCCACTAGCACTTATGCAACTACCCAGATACACGAACTTCTCGACTACTTCTATCTGCTCACCATCCAGGGTGAGTACAGGATTGGAATCCTGCCAGTCTTGTAGAAGTACTTTGCACTTCGAAGGTGCAAAACACATACCATACCTACGGACACTGATTGCCAACTGATTAAGTGCGGATTGCATGCCTTGGGCATTATCGCACAGTAAGACAATATCGTCCGCATACTCAAGGTCGAGAAGTCTTTCTCCAGGTAACAGATCCACACCACCATTACTTACATTCATCAGAGCTGTTTCCAGAATGTCATCGATGGCAAAGTTGAAGAGGAATGGTGAGATTGGGCAACCCTGCCTAACCCCACTACTCGAATGGAACAATGGAGAGAGGTGGTTGTATGCCCTCACTCTGCCTGAGGTGTTTTTATATAGGGCTTTTAGGATGTTAATAAACTTCTCAGGCACACCCTTCTTCAATAGACAATCCCAGAGAACAGTCCTGTCCAACGAATCGAAGGCAGCCCTGATGTCAAGAAACACTACGATTGTTGGCCTTTGATAAGTATGGCGATGTTCTAACATTTGGCGGAGGGTGAAGATATGATCAATACATCCTCGACCAGAACGAAACCCAGCCTGCTCCTCGCGAGTCAATCTTTCCCGAGTTTTGAACAACCTACGAAGTATGACGGAAGCCAATAGCTTGGACGCAATCGGAAGTAGACTTATCCCCCGATAGTTGTTACAGGAACGACGTGCTTTGTACATGAGTCTAACGAAGTAGCTGGTATATCTAAAATAAGGATATCAGTTGTGAGGATCTGTCACGCTATATTTTGTCGATATGTATTAATTTATATGGATGAGATTTTCAAAGAACTTGAAGTACGAAAACCCAGTTTCGAAAAATATCAAGGAAATAAACTTAATTGTACAAAGGAGGGAATCACAAGGAAAGGAATGGATGAATAGAGAATGTTTGATATTCAATCATATACGATAAGAAAGGTATGATGAGGGTGGAATTTAGAGAAAACTTAATATCATACATTACCATTTAAAAGTAGATCGAAATCAAATAAACTCAACAAGAGATCTACCAAATCAACTATAATTACGATACGCATGTATTCGTAGACCCTACTAAACAATTTCGGATTAAATTAAGAAAGTACATGTGACATAAATAGTTCTTACCCAGAATTTGTTAATGACTTATCACTTTGAGACGCCACAACACGATTAGATTTAGTTTGAAACAAAAAATTAGAATCCGACACATTTGTTGTTACAGGACAAAAAGCTGATGTCTTAAATTGGGAAGGATCGTTTGACGACTGCTGTTTAAACTGAAAGGTCGCATTCCCATCAAATGCTTCTGTTAAGCATGTTAACGTACTACCTAAAATAAAAAGTAAGATATTAAGTTAGTGAAACTGTTGTCTAGTCTACAGTTACAGATTGAAAACTCTTATAAAGAAAATTGTAGAACGTTATTTGATAATGTGTGATAACGAAACTCGTGATTTAATTTACAATGACTAATGATAAATCCCTGAAAAAGAACTCAACAGGAAACACCAGGTCTATATGTTATGCTTCTGATAACAGTGATAGCTCTTAACAACTCTTTGATACCAGGTTACAAAATCTGCATTCTCTTCTAACCGAGGCTACTCCTAAAAGAATGACGTGAAGACTTATTTGGTAGAGACTAAAGAAGATTAATTCATATTCGAGTTTACTTAGTTATAGATCGATTTCATTAAGTGATTATTAGTTAAAGAATTTGTCAAATTGGACAAATATCACTTGAATGAAAAATCACAATGAATTAATTAACACAATCAAAATGCACTGAAAGTCGAATGAATGAAAATCACTTTACATAAACATGTGAATAATAAGATTGATCTCTGACTAATATGTTATATTTGAAGAGTTAAAAGTTTCAACAATTTCCATTCATAATAATGGGAAATTCTAATTTTAATATACCTTCTCTAAATCACAAATAACGATTATGAAACTATTTTGCTACTTTATCACTATTTAGCATAATTTTGGTGTACATTAAGCATCAGGTGCATAGTGAGACATAGAGACATTAGTAAGTGGGTGAGATGATTTAGCTATTAGTACTAATTAGTCAATTGAAAGTGAATAAGTTACGGATGATCAATGGTTTTTGTAAAGTATCATAATGCGCTATAACAGTTACATTATCAACATACAGAGGTGAAATGTAATTTTTCTATATTTTTGGTAAATGCTACGAGAACTTATTAGAAAACATACCTGTATACTTTATAAATAACTTTAAATAAAGATAATACAGTCAAACACCATACAGACACCTAGGCAGTGCGCATCCACAATTCCCTTTTCGGGATTCGGACCTAGGACCTTCGGTCGTGCGTGAGAACGCTTAACCACCTCAAGACCACTGAGCCGGCATCCAACGGTGCTAAAATCTAACTTCAACCAATTTACGAAATCGAGCGACGATCTTCCATTGTCTGATGTAGATACCTGTATCTACCTGACACGGATTAACTCCATTGGTCACGGCTTCTCACTAAAACTTCAAGAATTCCCTCGCGAAGTTTGTCACTAGTGAGCACATGGTAATTATCAGTATGGAGTTGTGGAGATTGTTAAGTTTTTTTATTGAGATCATGAACCGATCGATGCCAGACCACCATTGAAAACCTGGAAGCATTGGACGGCCGTCTCTTCCTAGCATGAGACTTTTTGGCAGTTAGACATTAACACTGTACGATGCCGGCTCAGTGGTTTAAAGGTTAAGCGTTCGCGCGCGAGACAGAAGGTCCTGTGTCCGAATTCTAGGTGAGGGATCGTTGGTGCGCACTGCTGAGGAGTCCCATACTAAGAAGAGACGATCGTCCCATTCTTACAGGTTTTCAATGATAGTCTAACATTGATCGATTCATGATCGCAATCAAAAAACCTTAACGATCTCCACGAACCCATACTGATAACTATACAGACAAGTGGATTCGCTTAATTCAAGTACGGATATGAAATTATAAACACTACAAATGCGTTGTTATGCATACAACAAAAACTTATTTTTACAAATTAGTATACACATTTGCAATAGTTGAAGGACAAGCTACAATGACAAAGGTGACTTAAAACAAATAAGTACAATAAACTCCTTACCAGATTCACTTGAATGGTTTTCATTATGACATACATTGTCTGACGAATTCATCTGAGAACAGCTACCAAAGCCTTTCACATTATCTGAAACAGACGAAAATTGTTGTTTTTGGTCGATACGGAGAGCCTGAATCACCTCTCTGGAAACATAGTGTTTTCCAGTTTTCGGTTTAGCATAAGTAGGTGCGTCCGCCCAAAGTGGTGTAAAAGAAGGTGATAAGGAAACTAGTGAAGATTTGATACTACCCTGTTTATTTGTGGTTGGAGAACAAGGGGAACTATGTGAATTGCTTGAGTCTTTATGATAAGGTGCTGTGTTTTCACACGTACTGGCAGTATGTTGTCGTGTCCTAGCATACTGGATTCCTGGGATGATAGTTGGTGTCGTCAAAGATGAAATATAAGGGTGTTGTGGGCTATTTCCATTGGACAAACACCGATTCAATTCAGTTTGATGTCTGCGGATAGGGCGAATGTTACATTGAGTAATGTTCGCTTAAAAAACAAAGACAAAAATCTCTCGATGAAACAAATTGTGCAAAATTTTGATAGTTCAATCATATTGTGTGGTATGGTTATAAAAGTTAGACTGTAAGCAAGTCAACAGGTTTGTGAATGTGACTTTGAATGTTAAACAAAATTTATAGCACAACTAATATATAAGTATTACACAATGTATAGAATTTCCTTATGAAATACGGGATGATATTTTTCCTATGTAACAGTTCATAACTCTTTCCTATTGTATATTCATGTTGGTTAGGTTCAACTAACCAATACTAAACTCAATAACGAGAAACGTGTGTACTTGGCATTTTTATTAGATGTTTGTTAACCGAATGTTGTGCATACTATCTATTATGAACTGACCATTTTAAACCGATACGAATTCAATTTTTTACTATTTCGAGTCCAAGTGCTATCAGATGCTTTCAGTTATGGTCACAATTAACGCTGATAAGAGAATACTGTCAGAATGATTCAAGTAAAAAATTGCGAATTATTTTAAACAGAAAATATGAGAATAAATTTATGGTAGAATGAAGGATTGATTGCTTTCTATGTTAACGTGGTGACAAAAAAAGAAAGGATGAAGTCCAAGTAAAAAAGATTGGTAAGAACCTTGTTAATTAGTTTTATTGCGAAATAATACTAATGTGAGGTAGTCACTGACGTCAAAAAGTGCATCTATATGTAAGCTAACACTAAAAGGCAAAGAAAAATCAGATTGTCGAACAAATATTTAAAACTTTAATGTCCATGTATGATATATGTAATTACAGAAAAAAGTGCTTCATTACATATATATAATTTCATATTGTCTTAATGTTGATGATAAAACAAAAATAATGATATTAAACAATGTGATGACAAATCCTAAATTACCTGACGTGTCACCGTTATTTATCAGTGTTCGACTAATAGTAGACCAGCTGCTTGGCAGTCGTTTGCGTCGGCGAACATCTTGAGAGGGAGAAACTGTACTAGAGCGACCAGGAGAATCCGTTAGTGGCTTAAAGACATTCTGCTCGGATACAGAAAAGGGTGTACGAGGGCTGTACTTTAAATTGAGTTCCATTTGTTCTGTATTGAGACAATCAGCAGTAACGTTATTATGGTGTTCATTTTTATCAGCTGAAATAAAATTGCATTGAGTTTTATTGTACGGAATACCTGAATGAATATTGTTGTCTTGTTGTGAACAGTTGTTTGATAAAAAAGTATCGTTGGAAATATTATCTTTAGTAAGCTTTTCTGAACAAATCAGGCAGATATTTTTATTATTACACGTTTTCTTAGAAAAACCATTATCACATGAATCATGAGAATCAGAAGAAATAGACAAAAGTCCACTACAAGTACAAGGTAAATTTTTGAAGCAAAACGAACAGTACGGTTGATAGAGTAGTTCTTTCAACTTCAGCGTGTCCAGAGGTTGTGAAGGTAAAGTCACCAAATAAGGCTCAGATCTAAAATGACAAAGTTTGAGATGTTGAAAATATAATTGTTACATTTTATCAATTATATTTACTTGTAATTAATAATGAGCAAAACCCAAACTAATAAAAAAGGTCAACCATTAAAAATGAGTATTACATATTTTACTATTTTATAACGGTTGTTTCCAAGATGACAAACATTCAATCTTAATAGGAAAATTCTAAGTGGGGAGCCTATTGATATCATATAGTTAAGTAAAAAATTTATTTGACTGAAAGATTTGCTAAAGATGAAAATATGAAATTTTTGTTTGTTTAATTAGATTTTTAGTCAAAACGTAAATAAAGTAGGATTCCACAAAATTTATTCCAGTTTAAACTCTCATGTTTTATAACAACACCGCGTAGAAATCAACAAGATAGAAAAAAAAAACTAAGAAGTGAAGGTAAGAAGCATTATCAGTACTAAAAACAAAAAAAATACAAATTAAAAGATACAAATACAATAAGAAAATGAAAATTATAGAGCAATATTATAACTAGAAACAATGGATATATTAGAGGAACACATGAAGATTTGCACGATGAGAAAAAGATAAAAACTGATGATAGATGGGGATTTTATTCGTCTTCTAAAAATATGACAATCACTTATTGACTAAAAGTATATATATATATATATATATATATATATATATATATATATATATATATATATATATATATATATATATATATATATATATTGGTATTTGATGACTACTTAATGAATATCATCCGTAAGTGAAATAAGGGAAATATACAAACAGGTTTTAAACAAAATTCATACAAGAGGATGTTATATTGAATAAATGGCACACTAAATTAAGAGGAATATTAAACTGAATAACACCTAGCATTTTATCCAGTCCCAGCACTTTCCCTGGTTTACCTGGATATGTATGAGTACGATACTTCGGATGGATTGACTTAGAGGTTAGATGTCCTTGTTGTAATTAATGCGATCTCCCGGGCTAGTTTTGTGGTAGTAATTCAAACTTTTCGGGTTTTTTTGTTCACTGGATCTTCTATTAGTACTTCTCTCAGTAAAATTCCTCAATCTGCGATTAACTGAGTGTTACGTCCTTGATCTATCTACCCACCAATATACAGAAGATAGCTGGTCCCAATCTAAATTAAGACTTTGATACGATAGGCTGACTGGTTTAGCCTCGAGGCTAGAATCGAGTGAGATACAAGTGAGACTAACCGCCTTGCGTAGAGAGACAAAAACCCATTCTATCACCTGATTGGTTGACAAGCGCGCACGAAAGAAGACGAGCCAAGTGGAACACTACTCGATTTATTACCGATTCCCATTTAGATTATTCCAAAAAGGTACATGAATAAATAGATGACTAACATGGCCATAGCGAACAAACAGTTAAGAAAATACAATTATGTTCATATAACCACCCTAATTTGAAACTGTGGAAACTCTTCACCAAAAAAGCTTTCTCAAGATAAGAACTTTCAGCGTTAACAGTATCATTTACAGTTATAATTCCAATTTGTGAGAAATCACTCGAATTTTCCGCTAAAATATATTTTCTACTGGCGACTTCTCACTCATTATTGTGGGAATCTGTGTTGAGTGGTAGTTTAGCAGTAAATTCTGTACGATTTCTTCTACTGATCCTTCCCTTTATGCCTTCTGAACTGCTTTTCTATCGAATCAATAACCCGTCTTGTCTGACCATTTAATTGACAGTGGTATGATGGGAACCTGAAGTGATTGACATTGTTTTCCACACAGAAAACCTCGAACTGGATTGAAGTAAACGGTGTTCCATTGTCAGAAATATTGCATGTGATAGTCCAGAACGATCAATCAATATAAGTTTCCATACCGTAGCATTTGTGAAAAGATTGTTCACCATAAAAGCTTTTGTTCATTCTGAAAATAAATCGATGATAATGAGGAACTGTTTTTCCTGGAATGGCCCATTAAAATCTAGGTAAAAGAGTGACTAAAGTCCTATTGGTGCTGGTCATGGTCAGAGTTCAGCTTTAACACGGATTCCCGCAAAAGTCAATGGAGGATAGGCAGTAGAAGGTATATTTAGGTGGAAAATTAGACATTTCGAGTGTTAATTTGGTTGCAAAGTGAAAATGTACTGAGATTTCGGTTAACAGAACATCTGTTAACATTCAGATGGACACTCGTTCAGATATTGCAAGCACTGTTATGCTCAGGCTTTGGACAAAGATAAAAGGTAAATGCAACTTCTCGAACTTAAAAAGTTTCGGGTTAATTAGTCCTAAGCAACGTAGAACCTGGGACACGTGTGGGTCGATTTAAGTTACCCCACTACTACAGCACAAGATGAAATTATCAAAACAAATCCCACAGTAGTAGGAGTAGTGACAATATCAATGATAGCATAAAACATTAGGTATAGATAATATGATTCAGAAAAGAATGGATTCGTGAAACAAAACATAAAAGTATTTTAAAACAGAGATTGAATTCATCTGAGACTTTAGGAACGATTCTGAGCCATGTTATTCAGCCTCTAACCACTGGTTACAGTAATCACGAGAACCCCAACTAGGTAGTCTGCACTTGCCTACATGATCGGCTCTTGCTTTGTTTCACCTAAATTATTCCTTACCTACTCTTACACCAGCAAACATCACCCCGCTAATGTAGGCAGTGATTACGCATACGTCATGTATACTCCAATCACTTCAATCGACAAAGATTCCCAAATTCATCAACTGATTTACCATCTTCATCTAGCACAATGCGTCCAACTTTAGTATTATTCACTCGATGTCAAGCAATCGCTCCAACATCAGGGCACGACAAAGTCTCGTACAGTTGTCTCGGACCACGCTAGGAGGATATTTGCCACTCTATACATGGTTTGACCAAGAGACGACTTTACGTACTTGCTTACTTACTTTCTCCTGTTACCCCACGTATAAGAGTATAGTCCACCCATCAGGATTTTTCACCGAACTCTGTCATGAGTTGTCCAGTTGTTTCCAATTGCTATTCATTCTTTTGATGTCTGTTTCTAATTCCCAACGCAATATCTTCCTCGGTTTGCCTTCTTTCCTTTTACCTTCAGGACCCCAAGTGAGGGCTTCTCACGTGATCCAGTTCGATGGTTTCCGCAGTGTATGTCCCACCCATTTTCAAAGTCTTTTCCTAATTTCCTCTTCCTTTTGAAGGTGCTTTGTTCTCTCCGACAGTAGGCTGCTGCTGATGATGTCCAACCGACGGACATTGAATATTTTGCGTAAACAGTTATTTATAAATACTTGTACTTTTCATCAAAAAAGTCTACCCAAGATCCTCAGTAATCGTTGAACAGATACGATCAACAACGACTTACTGTGGGAGGTATGACAAGGGGAACTGATGGCTTTGGAAAACTATAAGTTAGGACGATAATATATGTTAAATAAGTTTCGATGCATATTCAGCTCAGGATTCTTTAAATGTAAAGTGAATGCTTCAGCGATGTACGAAAAAAAAGCCAGGTTCCAAGTTACTTCTGACTGACAGAGTGACTGCTTTCAGTAGGTTTTTATTTACCATATAGATGAGTTTAAACGATATGTTTTAATCGAAGGAGCGATGTTCTGAAGGTCACCTATGGCCATCTGATACAAAAACGTGCTATGTATCACACGGCTGTGTCGATGAACATAATCAGATTTTCTTGTTTAGTTATTTGGGCATGTGAGACCGGACCGTAAGAGAGGAGAGCAGTTGTATTGATCTAAACAATGTAGATAAGCTTATGGGTAATAAGCTTATCTACATTGTCTATCCAGTACCGAAGACCTTCGGCTAACCAATGACACGATAAATGTGAGATAAAAACCGAGAGTAACACAAAATGACTATTGGTCCATAATGCAATTCACCACACTAGCTGATCCGAAAACAGATCGAGGATGGGTAGAGTCAGCCCTCGCTCTCTCGAAATGCTCTCACATTACCACGTGCATACAACCACTGACAGGGAAGTCCCATTCACTGCCTTCTCGCGGTGGGGTGTTGTTTACGAAATCGAGAAGACAAAAAGCGAATGTCCGGCGCTTTAACCGGGTTGGCGGGTATGGAGGATTCACCTAGGGGAGTTGGAAAACCCTGATTCCAAACCAATGGCACACATGGACTGCACTATCCTGAGGGAACAAATGGCGTATGAACTTATTGTTGGTCACCGGCTACCATGGGACTACATCTCCTGATGTTGCCCCACTGCCTTGTGGATCAGACCTTTAGGTCGAAGGCCCCAGGCGTGGCCCCCCAAGGAAACCACCAGTTTCGGTCTGGGCACCAGGGCAGTATCACAGCCCACACACAAATCAAGTGCCTTGTGTGGCGCATATCTATTCGGTTCCCCTTTGTACCAATATTTATGTATTTCAATAAATAAATAAATATAAACTCAGCAAGTATGTAAGCTCGAATTTATATTAAAACAGCCAAATTCTGACCCTATGTCAAAAGAATCAAGGAATTACAAAATAGTTATAACCTTGCCATAAGTGGAAGAGGACTGAGTGATAGGTTGGTAATAAATTAACAATAACTTGGGAAAGCTAAGACACAAAACCGTAGATGAGTCAAGCGAAAGCTTACATGTAGGGGAATACAAATATATGGTAGTTTAAGTATTAAATAATTATACAACAAAAATATAAACAATAATTGTAGGTGGGACTGCTTCGAAACCTCACTACTGTTTAATACTTAACCCGACATAGTACATATCATTTAAGCTTCGCACAATTACGATAAACCAATAATATGATAGAAATGACAGTATGTAATTCAAAAACAGAACTGATACGTAAAAATAGTAAGATGTCCGAGATTCAAAGTGAGACAATGAATGGGCCTATCTGTTCCGCTGGGATATACCATGAATTGTTATTGTGAAAACTAGATACAGAAAGCTCAGTACGCGGTTTGGATCTTCAGTTAATAACCACGTGCATTGACTCAATATCTCATATTACGACTTAGAGACCTATTGAAGTAACTATATTTGAGACTGAAACATTTACACATTTTAAGTACTGTTGATTAGAAATTTAGATACTTTACATATTACTACATGACGTATCTTTTAGAGAGTAATTGTTTGAACTGGACCTAGAAATTTTACTTAGCTTATGTTTTCATTATGCTAACTCCTGCTTATAGTTGATATGATATAAACTAATATTAAGAAGCTACCAGTTGTAATGTTCCTGTGACCTAAAGTTCCTTTATGCCTCGACCACAATTAGTCTAGCAAGGAATCAAGGTTGTTTGCAATAATCTAAATAAAAATTATTACATATCACGTAATGGCCGTTACATGAAACTTGTATATATGTGATCTTTTCGGGAATACACTTTGTATCATACTAATACGTTAGCAGTTAGATGTAGCAACTCTAAACTCACCAAATTAATATCAGGGTGAACCAAGTACAAATACAAACAAAGAAGATAGTATCGAAATCTCTGAACAAACATGAAGCTAGTATATGTTGTTTTTATTAATGTCTGATGACTTTAAATAGCTACGTTGATTACACTAACGTTAAGGACAGAGCTTATGTCAATCTTTACTGTGAAAGGATAGTTCTTGAAGAATCTGAAGACATAAATGGATAGGCAAAGTATATACCGACTTAAAGTTGTGGCTATAAAGTGGGGATGGAAATAGACCATTTGAGCACAACTGTTTGTACAATTAGGTATTTCTTTTTAAAAACTAATTAACATGTCATGAATCAATTATCATATAATATAAACACCTTACTTACCCTCTCCAGTGACAAATATTACATTCCCGTAAACAGTGTGTGTGACCAGAGTATGGATAAGATTTGGGGTTAACATTGACCTATCAATTTTAAAAGTATCAAAGGAACAATAAGAAAGGCTGTTACTAACTAACAATTGACGGAATAATATAGAAGTATGGAAATGAACACTACATTTTATGAGCTGGGAAGACAAAGAATTTATACTTCAATCATATTTTGACACATTTCACAACATTTTCTTGTTGCTTTTATTATATGAACATTATCCAATGTTAGTTTTTGTTTGCTCAATAAAGAATCGAAAGAAAATGAATAATCATATCATGAAATTCAGCAAAATGCTTCAAATCTGCCCGAGTAAATACATTGAGAAAATTAATTTTTGAGCTAAAGACTTTTTGTGATTTAAAGCATTTTAACTGTTGCAAAAAGAGAAAATGGTGCACTATACTTCAATTTGTTTAGGGAAAGAGGCTTAAGAATATAACAGTTGACCTTTCCTGAAATCTAAAAATCTTCTATGATGCAACAAGTAATCATTAAGTTGCATTATTTATTTATTTAAATACATAAATATTGGTACAAAGGGGAACCGAATAGATATGCGCCACACAAGGCACTTGATTTGTGTGTGGGCTGTGATACTGCCCTGGTGCCCAGACCGAAACTGGTGGTTTCCTTGGGGGGCCACGCCTGGGGCCTTCGACCTAAAGGTCTGATCCACAAGGCAGTGGGGCAACATCAGGAGATGTAGTCCCATGGTAGCCGGTGACCAACAATAAGTTCATACGCCATTTGTTCCCTCAGGATAGTGCAGTCCATGTGTGCCATTGGTTTGGAATCAGGGTTTTCCAACTCCCCTAGGTGAATCCTCCATACCCGCCAACCCGGTTAAAGCGCCGGACATTCGCTTTTTGTCTTCTCGATTTCGTAAACAACACCCCACCGCGAGAAGGCAGTGAATGGGACTTCCCTGTCAGCGGTTGTATGCACGTGGTAATGTGAGAGCATTTCGAGAGAGCGAGGGCTGAATCTATCCATCATCGGCCGTACCAAGGCATTTAGAGGCTTTAATCAAATTAGACCTTCATTACAGTAGGATAAGTTTCAAAGCTAAAATAAACAGACATTCGTCTACCGGTTGGAAGTGATACTTAATTATCGAGGAAACAAAATTTATAGCTTCTACACAATCCTCAAAATTACTTGATAAAAAATAGCAAATATGTAAATGTTTATGTAAGTGAAAATATTCAGTAACGTTTTGTAACCTCAGACCTATATAAAAGGTTAAATTGGTACTCCAAGAAACTAAAGCTAAAGTGCTAGTCTACTAAAAGGGTTCAGAGCAATGACGCTGAAAATCCAAATACCATATCAAGTACTTTTTACTCTATATTATCCATCCAATTTGTAAAGCATCGGATTATATCAAACAATCACATCGTATATCACATTTTGTTGCTATATATTTGATAGAAAACAGGTGAGACATATTTTCTTCATGAAGTTTTCCAGTGCAATAAACAAACTTGGATCGACTTGAGATCAATTACTGGCTTAAGTGAATGCAAATATTCACACCCAGATACATAAAGATCTCTTTCAATAGTAATAAAAAAGACATGTAAGGAAAATAATTAAATGATGCCCTATCCACATATCTCCTACTAAATGATATTCAGCATCTACAAAACTAAGAAGACAGCTGCACTAACTAAATATAAAAAACACTACAAAAAGCATATCGAAGCTAATGTGATCATTTTATTCCTCTTGTGAATGAAAAAAAGATCATATTTATATGGCTTATAATGCAGAAACAAGAAGAAATCATTTAACTTCTACTAATTAATAAAGATTTATTTGATATTTACATAGGACTTACATTAATACTATTAAGAGAAGTGCACTGATATGTTGTTACAGGATGACTAGACAAACGCCGTCTTGGATGCATAGAAACCCTGACATAATTTGGGGAAAAAGTTAAATTTCAGCACTACTTGAAATAACTGTAAAAAAGGTTCGTGATAAAAGTGTGAACTTATCATTACTCTCAAGCAAAAAATAATTATTTCCTTATTATCCATAGGGTCTTTGTCACATAACTTAGTAGATTAGCTATTATTCAGACTCGCAGAATCGGTTATCATGGTAGCTAACATTATTTGCCAGGTACGTTTATAAACTTGCCTTCAGGCAACGCATCACATGCATGAGAGCCAGTGATACGATTTGATCCCACAAACCAAAATGGTTGGTAAGGTATTGTAACTTGAAACAACGGTTGAAAGGTGAATGCTTAAAGACACCGTCTAACCTAGCGACTTCAAATATCAGCACAATAATAGGCATAAATATTTTATATTCCCATCAGACATCGTTGAAGGATAGATAGAAGACTGCTGCTCACGCTGGAGCGTACGCATAGACTTTGATCATGCCCTAGTGAAAGCAAGACTTTTCAGGTGTTTTACTGGGTGTACGAATGCTACAGCAAGAAGACCAGCTAGATTTTATTTCGGAGATGAAAAGGTCAAGGATATATTCAGGGAAGTATCAGCTAAATACCTAGTAGACAGTAAAGGAATGGTTCAGCTTGAAGAAGCTGGGAACGATATCCAGGCAGCTGTTAATACAGCAGTGATATCAAACGGCAACCTAGAAAAGACCAGTGAATTTAGGTGGCATTCACTAAACTGACAGAGGCTCGGACAACGATGAAGAGCGACAACTCAGATATAAATAAATGAAAAGTTTATGCTACGATCGTGAGCAGTGGTAGGCGACGAAAGTAAAGAAGACGGGAAAAGCAGAGTTAATTGTAGACAACTTTTCAGACTTAATATGAAAGTGGGTATTAAAAAGATAGGTGTTAGTGATACTATCTTGGAAAAGGATGGAACTACTATTCACTATTAATCTAGATTAGATAAAAGGGCAGAACACTAGGAAATAGACCAACTGACCTCCAGCTACTCTTTAGTCACTCTCTAAGCCCAATCAACTTGAATAGCAAATCGACACAAACTCTTCAACTCTTAATGATGTTGGAAGAGATATAGGTAATCTAAAACTAGGAAGACCGGAAAGCTCTGAATGGTTAACTAATGTAGTGTCTGAAATATTAGATTTTATAGGCTTTCATCCCTTACCTAGGGCCCGTAAAGAGCGAAACCTGGAAAACCAAGCTAGTCATGGGCCTGAATGTGGATATGCAAACCAAATATTCACTTTTCATCACGTGTTAGATCATAAGCATACTCGCTGGAACTCGACTCTGAAAAGAGTTTCTAGACTTTGAGGTGGCACGCGACTATGTCGTCAGAGAGGTCCTGTGGCAATGTTTATCATTGAAAGGCCTACCAAAGAAGCCCAAAATCCTTGAAAGGGCTGTCTACTCAGAAACTATTGACTGAGTCAGGGCTTATAAAGCCATGTCATCTTTAAACGGCGTTTGTCTGGGGTGCCTAATATCTCTATTTTTGTGTAACCTTTTGATAGATATTATATTAGCAATAACAACTTTAACAAACTTTTCAGGGCTTTATTTATTATTAGGAGTTACATTTATTAACTTAGAATGCGGCTGAGACGTAGTTGCATTTAGTGAAGACGCTGAAAAAAAAGCCGTCGCTTGATTGCATGGAGCAACAATGCAAACATGTTTGTGATACGTTTCTCTCCCTGTAAATGTAAAATATTACTTCAGGACCGGTTTGCGTCAACACATGGACAAACTATATGCAGTGAAGTATTTAACTGCGCTGTTCACTTCACTTGTGTTGAGAGTCTTATCGCCCCTCATTGATTGATGTCTGACGAAATCTCGGCATGAATTTAGAAAGGTAGTGAATCCTTACCGAGTGAGTTGTTAAGATATGCATCACGTATACCCATTCACTAATTACCCTGAGTGATGGTTGCTAGTGTAGGAGTAGATTAAAAGAAAGCTAAGGCAGCCAAATCAAAACGTGAAGTCAGTTCATGAATTCACTGACTATTGGTTTGAGAAATGTAGGTTAGGGTCCACGAGATAACCACGATTAGTGGTTGGAGGCTTTGGATGACATGGAGCTAAATCGTTCATAATGACCCAGATGATTCATTCCATATCTTACTTTTATATTGAATCCCAAAATCTCTTGTTATATACGCTTCCCGATTAATATTAATATTAAATAGCCATTTAAACATGATTGGATAGATGCTTAGTATAAAACTGATTTCAATCTTATTTATTTTTGATAATTTTGACCATTTTCCTATAAACGCTTCAAGCAGACTATCGGGTGGAACTTTTGAATTACTTAGAATTTTGATTGGTGAGATTATTACAAACATAATTGTATATATAATGTTTGTTATACATTTGATGCACAATGTTTTTTGAGCTTTTCGTTCAAATGAGTTGAAATATGGTATCCGAACCACGTACGCAGACATTTGAAAATGGACAGATAGTTATTAAAACATTAGACTACTAAAATTTTCAAAGACAGACATAATCTTATGATTGATAATCAAGTGCATTGCAGCACAGCACCTCTGCCTAAACATTAACAATATGTTATTTTGATGAGCTATGAATATTAGTTCAATTTTTTTGCTTTCATCAAGGATTGACTTTAGATGGTGAACTATTGTAAATCAGAGACGATAAAGTGCTTTCGCCACTGTTTGAGACTCCTCGATAGTACATACACATGGACACTGTCGATGAATGAAGCTAAGATACCGTCATACGTATTTTTCGACTGTCTTTTCAAACAATAATCTCAATAAATAAAAATAATATATTTGTAATATCCCAATGAGTAGAAAATTGGATTTTCTGACGTCTCGTGACTTAGTGTAAGTCACTTCTCAATGTTTAATCTGTCTCATTGCTACTACATTATTTCGATCTCCTTTGTTATTTAGCTTGTTAATTTCATTTCGTGCTAATATACTATGGTAAATTAGTCCATGTTGATAATAACTGATGACTCTAATATACGTTCGTACTCTATTTTTCAACTGGTTTTCTTCTGGAATTCGTGTATATACAGAAAACTAATATCACGAACTTTAAATATATTTACAATAATCAACAACACCCACCATTTTTTTCTATCATTGACTGAATCAACATGAATTTCCTCCTTTACTTTTTTTGAACTTTCATCTGAATTAATCTTCATCTATTCAAAAAATATATAAAGCATTAGGTTAAGGAATAGTATGAACATATATATCGCTACCTAGTCGACTATCAAAATATAACGAAGACTGAAGTGCAATATAATAAACAAGGTGGAATACTTGTCCAACAAAAACACATGAGCTTTGGTTTAAAAGTTGTCCCATAGTTTAATAAGACTGATAAAGATAGGGGACTATACGAAGTTTGAGTCTTTAGATAAGGACTTTAACTGCTTAATCAACTCTCATTTTCAGTTAAATCAGTAAGTACGTTTATTTATGTGTTTGTCATTAGACAGTACCAAAGCAGAAGGTAGTCCAACATTTTCCCTACAAAGATCACACAAACTGTGTAGAGAATGACTAATTCAGCTATTCAATGTAATCGTCCATCTGAATTATAACATCAACTTGATTAGCCTTAACATATGATAAAAATGTCCAGACAAACACTTTTTACGGTCAACAAATATATTCAGTCTACGTAATTCGAAACACACGGAAGGTTAATTCTTAATGCTTCATATCAAATCAAACACCGACAAGCAAACAATAATTTATTCGGAGTTGTTAGTATGACAGAAGTGAGAAATGCATGTAAACGTACCCAACCTTTCCTTCAAGATGTTTAAAATGTTGTGAATTTTGTCAAAGCTTCTGCTACACAAGATTATTCAGTCTAAAAACGTTATTTTAATAATCTCTGTATGCTGATAAAAACTTGAACAGGAATATTTGAGGTGAGTATTCTAGTTAGCAAACACGGTGGCTGTCAATAAACCTTTATGAAACCACATGAATTTAAGTAAGAAGCGAAACTGAAGAGCACTGGATCCGAATGACAAAGCATTTAGAAAACTATAATTGAGGTGGGAACATGCCCCACTGTTGACAAGCAATAAGCTAATATACCAAGCACTGTTACCGTAATTTGGCTGTTGTTAGCAGAAATAGTCGTAAGAATACTATTCCTACTAACATGACAAAACAAGTACATAAGTGGCCAAACATGGTTAAGAAGAGTTTTGAGGTACAAAATTATGACGATGTAAAGTGCAATACTACCTGTGGTACAGTATTCCTGTTAGTCAGTTTGTTGGACGAGGGCGGTGAATCTATCATAGGAACTTCATCACTACTACACTTATCCAGATTTTTGGTAGAAATAATCGCAGCATTTTGAGTCGCATTCGAGTAGACACGACTGGTAACAGAAAGGATAGGATTACATAAAGAAATAGTCTGGTCAGAATCGCATCCTTTAGAGCAATCGGGGGGATCAATAAGTGAAGCTAAACAAGTTAGGCGTCTCCAGTCTGCTTGATAAACTGCGGCTTGATTAGTATGTTCAATCATATCACATAAGTCAGTAGCACGGTTGGATAGGAAAAGGTGACTTCCAGGAGCTTCAGGGTGATCAGGGAAGGCAGTGAGAAAAAAGAGTGATGGAGGGTCAGTGAAGCTTCCTCTCACAGCGTTCTGAACACGGGCAGTACCACACTGCACTATTTCATCATTATCAAAAGTCCATGTTGCTAAGAGACGAGGATGGGAACAACCCGGACCCGTAGTGAAACATATACGATCAGGTGTCACATGTAGATAGCCATCGCTTGAATTACTGCATAATGTAGGATATAATTTTCTTAAAGATGAGAAAATCTGGTTTTTAGGTCCTTGAATGAGTGGAAAACGTCTCCTATGACGTGCATAACTATACAAAATGCTGTTTTTAGGAGCAACAATCAAATCGGCATGAAAATATGAACCTATAACGAGCACAAAAAAAACAGTAAATCAACTTAAGAAACTGACATAAAGGAAATGTATTTTAAAAGCCGCTAGTAAGATATTGTCATAAACCAATTCATTCACTGATACCCACAATGAATAGATTATTTTTAAACGAAGTGGTTGTCTCATAGGATGCATGTTTGTTGATAAAAGCCGAATTAAACTAATGACAATCAGTAAGGATTTTTCCAGTAGAAAGCCATCTTCATTACTAGGAAAAAGTAAATTATTCAGCTCGACACCAAGATGTTGGAAATTATGTCGAAAACTAAAAGCATAAAATAAAACGTTATACCGAAACTATTCAGTCTTGGTTCCAAGTGATCATCATCCTAACGAAGGCAAAAATAGTGTTTTACATTCTCATATCCATTAAGCTAAGTAATTATTCAGAATCAACCAATTAAAAATATTTAAGTATTGAGACAGTCTGCTTACATATACTGAATGTTGGTGACAGGCCATTGAATCATGTTACCAAAAATCATTACATAAACTAACAAGGCTAATACGAATGACAGATGTTTCGTTATAGGTTCGTTACCAGTTGACTCTAAAATACTGACTGAGATCGTGCTTCACAGACCAAAAACCTCGTGGAATAATGACTGACAACGAACAGGCTGAGTTCTAGCATGTTGTGGACGATTTGTACATATATTTACGGAGTCTATTAAATAACTGGACATTGTAAGAGGCTGATTGCTAAACATTATAGTATCACCCGACATAGTAATTGCATTTGATTTATTGGAAATGACTCTGATATCAAATTGCTGAATAGGCATTTGAGCAGTTTAGTGACACCTTGAAGGCATATATATTTTCATTACTAGAATACAACAGCAAAGTTGGAAGAAACTATAAATCTAGCGATCCCCTCCACACTTTTATCGATAAAGTGGGGTATTAAGTTAAGCAAAAGTGGGAAGCACATATGCATACAAACGGAGACAACTAGACCAAATTTGTTCAAAGTACTCTTTTAGTCATATGTTTCGGAAGGTTGTCTATAATTAAACATTTAAAGACAACATTAAACAATCAGCATGAGTACCTATGTCAAAGCAAGTAAGGTTATACTCAATGATATGAAGTTATGTGCACAGACGCCAGTCGTTAGCGAAAGAAAATTACGGACCATATATGAGAGCTTGAAAGCTTGACTTACATTTCAAATTAGCTTTCAATATGTCATCCCATTTAGTCATCTCCTCGAAATGTCGAAATGATATACAACGTAACTTGTAGGTACATACGAACATAATTACTCCGTCATGCTTAGAGTCTACTCCGAGAATGTAGGCATGAACATCTTGACATCGACATATACTTCCATCGTCGTTAAATACGAATAACTTTAGTGAGTCTAAACTGGGTCAGAACAACACTAATTTACTTATAAATGTTGCAGGTCTCTCAAGCGCGCAAAGCTTTTTCTTCCACTAATAAGTTCTAGTTAAATAGTGAAAACAGAGTCTACCTTGCCACTAACTTTAACCGGTACAATGCCTTCGATTAGGCGTCCAATACTGAACATTTTATCAGGTTTGGGATCAAGGTCATCAGAACGAAAAGCCGCCTGCAATTAAATCCTCAATAGTAGAATTATTTGTTCAGATCTCTTTTATTAACTCTTACATTATTTTTTATAGTTGAGACGTTTTATTTTGTAGCGAATCATATATGGAACCAATATTACTTTTTCTGAAGGGGTGTTCCGATCTTTGGTCGCTGAATGGAAAGGACGAAATATAGGGGTAAACAACATCAAAAACTAAACGGTTTATCAAACTTGCGAAGCCGAGATTGATCTTGCTGGTTCTAATGTACACTACTATCAATAGGAACATGAATAGACGTCGTCGTTGTATCGCAGAAAAGCTGTTGTGAGACGAACTCCTACTCTAATTGGTTTGCTAAGCAACTTCTTATCCGTTTATTTCAAACTCTATTCTTATATCTTCTTTTCGTCAGCATATGATGCTCTACACATGAGTTCACACAGTATATCCCTTCGTTTAGTTTCGCACCAATCTAGCTTCCTGTTTACCGTATTCCATTAAAACGACCTACAATTTCTTCAGACTTGTCAACTAATTTACACTCTGGATAGTTTGTATCTGTATCAATACAATGAAGATTAGGCCAATGTAATGCAGTTCAGGGTTTATTTCACCTTACTTTAAATTCTGGATATTACATTGCCAGTGTCATTTCTATTTTAATACAATTTCTGGTCGTTCTATGTCCTAGTGTCAATGTACATCCGGTTTATTACAAAGACGTCTAATTCTGATTTTGTTTATATATCACTGTTATTTTATTCCAGTTGTACCCGCCCAGCCCTGTTATAATTTGATTGCTGATTACTCCTGTATGTGCTAGTGAATTATATGACTGAAATATATATTCGGGAAAATTGATATTCTATTTCTTGCCTAATTCGTTGGTCTTCGGTATTCAAGTATGAAGATAACGAATATAACACATCCATTATTATCTTTCTGGTTGGTTTCCGAAAAACCATTTTCATACCGTTGTAATGTCGTCATCATCTGATTTTACGGTTTACAGCGGACCTTCGTTGGTGAACCCATATTCTAATATTCCGAATAGTATTGTAACTCTGTCATATTCCTCATAATTCAGCACATTCGGAGTATTTCAGAGTGAAAATCCCTGTCACTAATATTTTGAATAACCCCAGTAAAAACAAGATTCAATAATGTTTAAAAAGTAATCAATATATTTAAACAGTTTCTAAGGTATTTTCTGAATGATAAATTAGCCTGATAGCAAAAAAGAAGAGAACAAATATGTCTCAATAAATTGGAAAGTCTTTTGTATTAACTTACGCTTGAGAGGGAACATAAACAACGGCTTTTGTGTTTGAAGTGATACTGATTCTCAACCATACGATCTTTGAAGCTGAACACGATATATCTGGGAAGAGTTGCGTTCAAAATTTAACACTTGGCGGACAAAAATGGTCAGCCCTTGAACACTTAGTCCGTCGAGCGTGGTTCAGCCATGAAGAAGACACTAGACAACGCCACTTTTCATGTTAAACATATAATTCTATATCTGACCCGAATGTATGATTTATCAGTTCTTGATATTATATTAGTGGTTGCCGCTATGGGACTAGTCAGTATGGGCAATACTATGAGTTCCATGTAAGATATTATAGATTAGGCAGTCATATCGTTACAAATCATTCGTGCCAGTAGGCAACCCTCATTCTGTTGATAGAAAAAACCAGACTAGTAGTGAACAGGTTTTTATGTAGCTCGTGGGACAGTCACAGTGGATCTGGAGGTTACCTGTTCAAACACACAGAGCTTTTCAACATTCAATATAAGACGGTAGAAAATGTAACGTCTGTGAAAGATAAGGAAGTGGATGGATACGTGAGCTCTATTATTTTGACATTTACTTAGTTGTTTGAGTTCATTTCTTAACTAATAAACCTTAGTCGTTAAAAATTTCCAATTTTTGAATTAGGTCCATCATTCTAGTAATAAAGACAAATTCACTTCATACAGACCCAGACCATAACTCAACATACTCTCTACTTAAAACTCCTCATAACAGATACATCCAATCAGTTTATTTTCATCTGGATGTCTTGAATCGTCCAAATAATTTAAAAGAGTTGAACTTGGGGGTATGTTTAATCGGTTGACAAGTTCTAAATGAAACGCTTCATAATATTAAATTTGAATATATTCTGGCAACAGAAGTGATGTTTCACGGATGTGAAATATTTTCAAGTCATCACAAACTGAAATTCGTCACGTTAGGAAAAAGGCACTCAGATATACTCCGGCAATAACGATAGTTGGTGGTAGTATTCGAGTGTAATGAATAGTGCTCGCCACCTGATCGGTGTTGAAATTGTTCAGGATGTTTTCAAAAGCGTTTCAGCAAGCAGCATGTGGTCCATAAAGGGATCAACTAATAAATCTACAAGAAAATCAAAATCCACAAATTTTGAAGTGTTTAGAACTGATTAAAGGTCTTTTAGTTCCAACTTTTGAACATATTTGTGATAACTTCTGAAATGAATACTCTCGAGTGAAGCGAAACGTAATATATGTGTCAATTAATCTGGATGCCTTTTGCATCTTGAGAAAAGTTTGTAGGACCTAAGCATGCTGTTTAATCCCCATTATTTAATGCAGATGCACTATTGACGACTATAGAGACTGTAACGAATTTATACCTCAGCCATAAAATAAAGACAACTGGGTGGCGAATGACACTGGTATTAGATGCTAGCTTCATTGAACACATGCTCAGAACAGATACTTTCAAAACTATCTACATAATGTTTGAAAGATCCCTTCGAGTCATCAGAATACTAGAAGACAAGGTAGCCGACAAATTTATTGTTTCCTTCTAGATCTCATCGGTATTTCTTAAAACTCCACTGGATGAAAATATGCAAGTCATAAGTGAACACAGTGACCCTCTTAAATTACCAGAGGATGAGTTCAGCCAGCTATTACTACTATCCACTAAAGATATACAATTTACATTTCAAAAAATCTTCACCACTGAGTTCAAAGAAGCCTCATATCTAGACCACTGCGGCCGGTACAGCAGATTGATTTAAGGGCAACACAGGATTAACATAAAGAACTCAATCACTAGACGGAACGGTACTTCGGGAATTACTACGACACATATATTGTTTGAAATAGTTACAAACATGCTTCTCGTGTGTCAATTCTGCTGAATAAAATGTAATTTATGTACATTTAACAGTTGAAGGAAAACATTTTGGTCGATTCCAGTTCCTCAACATCGATAACTAGCGCAGTATGGAATGCCATGCGGTAGGCTTTATTGGTTGAGGGGCACTTGAAGAGGGATTTATGTGAACCGCTGAAACTTCTGCCTTACAAACAATAATACGGTTTCGGTTAGATTACTATCCATACGTGTACTGAATAAAGCTTTCGGGTTAGAAGGTAAAAGAATTATTAACTAGACTTAATGAGTGTCCGAATGACAACAGTAACCCACAAAATTTTATCAGTAAGTGTGAAAAACAAGAAAAAAGTAAAAGAACACTCACGCAACCTCAACGGTCTGTCTTTTTACCACCTAGCTTCGTTGGTGATAAAATATTGATACCAACTGTTCCTAGACTAATTCCTCAATTGCAAAAGATCTGTCTAATCACTCAGTTAGCTACAATGCATCAAAGAAGCTGTCTCAAGAGACATGTTAAAGTGATCAAATCCGCACATCTAGTTACTTCCAATCGTATATATCGGTTTAAATTTTCATTTTAAAGAGCTTACACTGGAAGAACAGAAAGTAGTGTGCTTTTCCTCATCTCTTAGTGCACTCCATAAAAGTTGAAATTAAAAGGTCGAGTTGCTCTCAATAGTACTATTGCTGCCATCTACATGATAATATACCTGATGTTAATATTTCAGAATTGTTTGAAGTTACTGATACTCAAATAGCTTAGTAAATACCAAGTTTTGCTGGACTCATCCTGGCCACAAAGTCAAAACTATAGTAAAACACTAGCAAAAGGCTTTTTTATGTTTCAATACCACGATTATTTCTGTATTTCACTATTGATTTCATCAATATCCTGTTTTTAATTCTGAGTGAAGTTCCTTTATTTCACTCTTGCTTGCTATTCGATCTTCACTCATTTCATTTATTATTTATGCGTAACTTTAATACAAATTTTATGCTTTAAAAAAATGTTTGGTCTTTTCTTAATCTTCACATCTAGTAGATTAAATGATAATCAATTTAGTTACCTATAAATTTTCATATGCTTTTTGCCGTTTTCGACCAATGTTCGTTAATATGATGTGAAAGAAGTACTTTGGTTGTAAGTAACTACCATTGTGATATTTTGGTTTTAGTTAGTTAAAGAGAAACTGGAAAACAAACTAGTCATTCTTATCATGTGGTTCTTCCTTGTTCTACTGTGTTTAACTACTTTGCATTAGTCAATTGTTTCATCACCGTATTTTCGAACCTGAGTGCCATATGATTACATGAAGTCTTCACTCTCATATTATAAACGATTTTATTGTTGAGGCCTCAACTAAGTGTTATACAGAATTCTAACTATTTCTATTTCGAGGGGTTTAAAGTTTGACTATGTTTATATCAATGTGTGAAACCTCTTTATAACCGCTAGATCACAGTAAACAGTTATTTTGAAGGCACAGTTTATGATCATATTTTGATATTTCTGTTCCTGAACTATAAACAGTGGTGTTTTAACGATGATGTACTAGGGACTGAAGTGGAGTTGATGACGATATGTTCAATATTTTGACGATTGTCACATTCCCTACCACAAAACCATTTTATGTATTTCGCTATAGAGCTCTAGCTGGTCAGTATTATCATCCAACATTTCTCATAGGTTTGATTATAGGCAGTTAATAACAATGTTATTTCAAACAGTTTGAACAATCCATTAGCGGAAAGAAGTAATGGTAAGTTTCTCAGGATTGCCTTACGTAACATGACCCTTATACAATTTCACAATAACACTGTTCAAGGCAATGACCGACCAGTATCTTTACATCTTACCTTGGAGTTTCTGAACCCTATTCGTTAGCTAACGTGAACGGCAAACAAATGGTCTAAGCTGATCGACCAATCCGAACAAAAAAAAGATGGAGATCAATATGATCACCTCTCCGAAAATCTGGTTTGTGGAAGGGGGAATACACTTCATACTAATTTGCTTGAAAGGTAGTACTTGAGACAATATGCCCTGAGTTGTCTGAGTTCACTCAGGTTAGCTTCACTAGGTCTGGAGGAGACAGGCCTGATGTACCTAGTTCACAGAGGTGAATATTAAACCTACTTGTTATTTGAACATGATGAGAGTATATCGTCAAATGAGGAATACTGACCGAACTAATTTGGCTAGCTGTTATTAATTCAATGTTCGGCAGTAGGAAATACACAGACCATACAACCCTCTGAACTGAAAACTAAAATCGTATATTGCACTTTCATTCTCAATTAGCTCATTCGTAATGAGAAAACTCTTTATTTTCAGAAATTTGCACCGTTCAAAAGATGAAAAAAACTTCGCTTTTTCAAATGCTTTTACGATTTGAAAACATTTGTTTTAACTTATGATGTGTAGCTTCAGCTAAGCAACAGTTAACACGAGAAGTGGCGCCTGTATTGACGTAGGGGTGTTTTTTGTTTGTCGAGTTCGTTTTTTCACTTGGAGAGGAAATGAAAGATTTCCGACGCCCTAGAACAGGAGAGGAATTTTACGAATCTTTCGAGGGAGCTCCTTTGTTTACAGCCGTACTCACGTATCTAAGCTTTCTAATATTGAACATCTTGGGGAGGCTTCAAGATTTCCTGAGGTTTATTCATGTATTAGAAAATCATTCAGTAGCAGAAGTACCACAAACTAAATCTTTCGTCCCGCTTTACTCGTCTTATGAGGCTTTTTATACTCGTAATCTATACCGAAGGGCACAAGACTGTTGGTGTAGACCTATTTGTTCTGCTCCAGGTAGTGAAATCGTAGTAATGGATCGTAAATCACCGGACTGTGGATGGACGTTGAAGTAAGTTGAAATGAGTTATCATGATTATTACTTTCTATACACGCGCAGTTCTAATAAATTAAAAAGTTTTCGTTTTTCAACATGTTTATTTCATGTAAAGAACAGTAATCAAACAGTTATTTATCCCAAAAGTTAATTTATTCTTTGGTTTTTATAAAAAAAGCTCACTCATCGGTCATCTTTTGTAATGATTTAATTGTGTTCTCCGTTTTGTTTGTGAAATATGTTCTTTGGTTTTTAGTAGCTAAAAATACTTGACGGCGTTCTGATTCAGTTTTCAGTCATAAGGATAGTAGGTTGGTGACCCTGTATTAATCCTGACACACTGCTTTCCAGTCAAGGTCCAGCTTCTCTTCGAAAATATTCACTGATGGGGCTGATACCACTTGTTCAGGTAAGGCGTTCCAATCATTGACTACTCGATGAGAAAAACGGGACCCCAGTTTCAGTTTATCAGATCGTTGTTTATAAACCTTTTTGCTATGACCTCGGAGATTATTAGTGCTGGAAGGAGCAAAAAGATAAGACCCATTAACACCCAAATCATAATTAAAGATACGAAATGCCAGTATAAGGTCACCTTGTGTCCTACGATACGACATGGGGAAAAGGTTTAGGCGTTTTAAACGCTCATCGTAAGGGAGTCTAGAAGGACACTCTAGTAATTTCGTTTGCACCATCTGAACACGCTCAAGGGAGTTAGTATCTCTTACCAGACACGGGCTAGCTGCTTGGATACAGTACTCTAAATGTGGTCTAACATATATGGGATATAAAATTCGGAACGTTTCCTCGTCAAAAGATTTGAACGCCCTGAGAAGTAACCACAACGCAGGAAAACCTTTGACAGCGGCTGCTTTGTAATGCGTAGTTGTTTTTAAATCATGGCTTATTACCACTCCTAAGTCTTTATGTTCTTGAGCACATGGAAGAGGTTTACCCTCAATAGTATAACGGTAAATTGTTATTTTAAGCTCTATGTGTTCAAGCACTTCTCGTTATATAAGGTATTCATGTTCTGCAATATTTTGTTATATATTTTCAGTATGCCTTGTGTGGTAATAGTTTTATTAACAGTTTAAGATGTATATCGTAGATTTATCTACGACTTTTCACTATCTCTCACAGTTATGATTCATCACTGTCTTTGATGCGAGCAAACTTCATCTAATCTTTTCGGGGAGAATTTACGAATTTTTCTGTGTTTATTTAGTGTTAACGACACTCTGTGGCCTCTAAAACGGTAAGTTTTTAACTATTGGGCTGGGAATTAAGACACATTTCTCCATATTTCAACCTTTATGATCGTTTGTTTGCGGTATATTAGGGCCGATTACACACATCCTTTACATTTTAAGTTGAACGGCAGCAACGGAAACAACCTCTTAGAAATTGAGAAACCCGTCATCCGTGAATAAAACCGTCTTATACCCACCACATATTGTTGTGAACCTTTAAAGCGAGTTTATGATATTAAGATTACGCAATATTTCAGATAAATATCTAAAAAGCCAACGAATAATCTTGATTCTGTCAATTGTCTTTTACGAATTAAAATAACCGGTACTAAATAATTGCACGCAAGAATATTTTTGTATGTTGTTACATATTATATTTGACTATGCAGACTACTAATTATCCGAATGCTACTGCTCTTTTTATCATTTCTTTTGTTATCGCTGCTGTGGCTCTGTTCATTCTTGTGTTGATGGGTATGTAAACATTGTTTGAAACTTGATTAGTGTCGGTTATTCCAAACAGTATAACTGGTTTTTCATATAGAATTCAAGTGTTCAGAATGAACATTGTATACTACTAGGTCCCACAGTCAAATACAAGAATATTTGGAAAAGACCCAATTCTTATCCCTAAGAAGAAAGATATACACCCAGGAGAATCACTGTATCCCCTCTTCGACCACTGTTGAGAATTTTTTCAAAATTTTACGCCGTCAGAAATCACCAGTTTGTCAACAGAGTGACTGGAAAAAGCTGAAACAAATATGAATGCGCAAAATTTTCTTCAACTGTAAACACACATTTTCGAAATTAATCACCAAAAATCTGTTGATGTATTATAATAATAAAACATATTTGAGGTGATTTGCTAAGTATGCACGAAACAGCGCAATATAAGGCAGGTATAAGAAGAGAAAGACTTACGAACATATTGCGTTGGATATTGGAAGCAGACGCCAAAAGAATGAATAGCAACTGAAAACAACGGGGAAGGATTACCCAGAACAGAGTTTGATGAAGAAAGCTGGTGGGCGGCGTATGCTTCTTCACGAGTAATTAAGTAAGAACTAGATGAGAATAACTAGACGTATAATATTTGAAATTCTTAGTAAGTGCCCAATATAGTACAAAGGAACTATCAGTTAATTTAATTGCCACACTCAGCTACATGATAGGATGGTAGCAGAAATGATCACTAAAAATTTCAAGTAAATATAAAAATTTAGAAGGTGCTCCCGAGCTTTGAGAGTAATTTTATTGTATAGTGTTATTAAACACAACAAACCATTCAATACTATTGAGTAAAAAATTGGTATAATTCAGAAAAAGCTAAAGTACGTGGATATCAAGTGATCAAATATGATGTGCAGTGGGTAAGACCTATCAATAAAAGTATAAACGACTAAAACAATATGGATTAAATCGCCCTGCTAGATGCTTGTTAACTATATATATTATCAATGTGAAACATTGACTTATACTTCTGTAAATTTAAGCCTTAAGAAATTGTTTCAGTTCATACGGCTGGATAAATGGCTTTAGATGTTACAGATAACAATGATTTGTGCGTATCTAAATAATATAAAAACGCGATATGTGTCCCGATTTTGTTTTAGATACTGATAATCAATGTTCTTTTGTCATACAGAAAATTAAGAATAGTATCCGTTAAGTCGGAGATCCAGAACATATCTGCCTAATTTAGTAGTTTTACTGGTTGGTAACTACATATTATGGGGACTTAAGACGCTTTCGTGCAAAAAATTAACTCCAACAAGGAACCTGTTGTCTTTTATTACGAAAAATAGCCTATGCATCATTCAAACGACGACCATAATTATAATGAGTCTACTTGCAGTTCATTTAAAAACATCTCAGAGTAGTATGAAAATCAAAGAGGATCAGAATAAAGCATGTGGCGACCAAGTTCCACATCATCCTATACAAACAGATCGTCTGTTTGGTCGACCTTGAATGAAATTACTATGAAAAACGTGTATTGAAAAAGTGCTTGAGAAAGAGGATATGATCCCCAATGATCTGTAATGAATTTAGAATCATCGTCAAACCTGAGTTACGCAACCGTGGTGTAGGGATTATGAAATTTTAAGGCATTTAAATTACTTCTTGATAATAGTTTCGTTTAGAAGATAGACTTAACAAGTATATTTTTTTCGAACAACTTCAGATGAAAAGTCAAGATTTTACTCGAGTTAATAAACTGAAAGCTTAATTCACTACAATTTTTTACTGTTTACTTTACGTGTTTTTCTTGCTGTATATGTTATATTATTCGGTGTGAACACATGTGAACGTATTGATCAATTACTTGCACAATGAAAAAGATTTCATGGGAGAAACTAACTACTGAATAATCCGAATCGGTTTTTTAAGTTAAAGAGATGGCATATTTGGGATTTACAGTCTCGAGCGTAAGTTAGAATTATGATACCAAATAGCATAAAGGTTAGTATACCTACGATAACAGTTTACCGTCCTGATTTTAATGCGAAATAATAATATCTGCAAATACAAGAAACTTTGTTAGCTAAATTGCTACATCTTATTCCCGGTTGATAGACATGGAACCAAATCTAAAAGGAAAGTAGTATTTGATTAGCATATGGTTCATTTACCATCAGAAGTTATCACTTGTATAAAACTATTATTCTCCAATTAAGGTCAATACTAATCAAATTTCTGAGGGTTTGTACTTGAATGACGCCATGCACTTCTAGATGACGTGCATAACTCTTTATTTTCTACATGATTATCTTTTACTTTATAAAGACTTGAGAAATAATTTATTGAGATTTCGCTAAGTATGAAGGCTGTTTGGTAAAAAACGCACTTGGCAGCCCGAAAAGTACCATTTCGAATCCTGCTGCAAATGTGTATGTTTTGATTCCAACTGTAACCTTGGTCTAGTTTCATTCTATTTATGGAAACCAGGTAAGTACACTACAATAACAGATCTTTGCGAATAAATCCAAATGTTTCCTCTAAATTATTTATGAATTCATACAATGCTGCTTTATTATCAGGTTGTCGTACATATACTTTTGGATAGTGATGCTGATGATAGTGATTTCTATATAAATTTGGTATTGTTTATTAATTTCACTTTCGACTAAGTTATCGTGTGTAAAACGACCTTTCATCCTTCACTTAGTGCTTACATTTTTTTTTCTATTGTTCATTTCAGTTTTACAGGAACAAAATCAAAGGTTTTGAACTTAGGATCATACAATTATTTGGGATTCGGAGATCCTACCGGACCTTGTACTAATGCTACAGAAAAAGCCACAGTGAAATTCGGTGTAGGTGTAGCAAGTTCTAGACAAGAGGCCGGAAGCTTAATATTACACAAAGAACTCGAAGATTTGGTTGCTGAATTTGTTGGACAAGAAGCAGCTATTGTTTTCAGTATGGGCTTCTCAACCAACTCACTAAATCTGCCATGTCTAGTTGACAAAGTGAGTTATTTTTCGGCATGAATTTATGAACAGACGTTTATGTAGTTATTTATTAGTGTTTTTATTTTCCTGTTGCTGATATTGAGAGATGAGTTTTAGTTCGTCTCTGATAGTATAATATACACACAGAGCTCATGGTTTTGTGTTACCTTCCGATTACACGTTTAATTATATATTTTAAACAAAGGTCAGAATGAAACCCGATACGATAACTTTGTCCTATTTAGTACTCATCAAATGCATATACATAGATCCTTGTGTTAATGTTCACACTGAGACTTGTGTCTTGTACAATTCTCGATATTTGAATAGCTGAACATTGTGTACCGATCATGGGATTATTTACAGAATCTTCAGATTCAAACGGATGTCTTAAATTCAAATTATTCTTTCTTAAGAAAGGTTGTATCTATTAAATTATGTTTACATTACATATATATCTGAAGGAAAACTGTTAACTAAACACCATTCATATCTCTTTCAGTAAGTTATACAGTATCTATGACTCACATCAAAGTAACTGATGCCACAGTTGTATTTAATCTTATTGTATATCTGTTTATCTCCAAGGTGTGTAATTTTCTTGACACCTCTCAACAATCACAATTGATTGATCACTGGGCGGTGATCAATGTCATGCTTGTCTAGTCCTTATTAGTGCAGATCGAATGCTATCGATCATGTTGCAATGTGGCCACCAGTCTAGGTGACTCGACACTGTGGGCACTATGTATTGAGATTTAGATGGTGGTTGGAGGTAGTCAACAGGAAACCCTGGACCCGGGTTTCGTGCTATTTGGCACTCGTCAGCAAGGCGTACCTGTAATCTTGAGGGAACTGGTGCTCCCTGGCGGATTCGATCTCGTGTCATCCTGTTGACTACCTCCAACCACCATCTAAATCTCAATACATAGTGCCCACAGTGTCGAGTCACCTAGACTGGTGGCCACATTGCAACATGATCGATAGCATTCGATCTGCACTAATAAGGACTAGACAAGCATGACATTGATCACTACCCAGTGATCAATCAATTGTCATTAGATCTCAGTCCTACAGGAGGTTAGTCACGGCTCGGATAGCTCAGTGGTAACGTCTCTGACTGTGAAGCTGGGTGACACGAGATCGAATCCGCCAGGGAGCATCAGTTCCCTCAAGATTACAGGTACGCCTTGCTGACGAGTGCCAAATAGCACGAAACCCGGGTCCAGGGTTTCCTGTTGACTACCTCCAACCACCATCTACTTCTCAACAATAGAAAATACTAACAGTATGGAGTTATGTGGAGATTGGTGGATGTTATTGATATCACAATTTTATCAATCGTCTATGAATGAAATATCCATGTCAGGTATAAAAAAATAGTTACTCCACACATATGTTTATCTATCTAAATACATATACACTGGTACAAGGGGCACTAAATATATATGTGTTACACAATAACAATGAGGTTATGAAGGGATAAGGAATGTAATGTACCTATAATAAAAAGAAGAACAACAACGAACAAAAATTAGTGTATGAGAGCAAGATAATAACAACAGTAGCAATAATAATTAGAGAAACGGATCTGAATTGCAACGTAACGATTTGTTAAATCAGCCAATGTTATAAAACACGTTTGAATCGATATGGTTTGCGTAAGACAAATATATCCATTTGCCTTTGGCTAATATGACAGTCATAAACAGGAATTAGAGGCGAGGATTAATTAAGTTTTAAAGCAAAAGTTAATTTACTTGAATTATTTTACAGAATACTATATCAGTAATTATTAGGCCAATAATTTGTTTCTGGTTGGAAACCAGGCTTCCTGTTAAAATCCAATCATCGTTATAGGGTCTACAAACTGAGATTGGTCCAGACAGTCTAAATCGAAGTTAATTATTTAAAATATTTATCGATACAATGACGTAAAGTTAAATATGAACTTTATTGACAGGTCGGTAAAAAGAATTTAAACGATAATTCAGAGAAAATCATTAAATAAAGTCAAAAGAATCAACAAGTTTTACTGATTAGTTCATTGTAATCCAAACAGTTTTAAAATACAAGGAAGTTGTTGCTGTTAAGTTGAAGTTAACTCACTGTATAGATGAAAAAATTACTTGATTGATTTCATTCTAAATATATGTATGATAAAGTGAATATTCAGAAGCAGAAATTATTGAAGCATTATGTGACATATAAGACTATTTAGTATAAGAAATTAAGTTTTTCTCTGGTGTCGCCTACATATTTTTCCTCCGAAAATCACATTGATCAACAAGCAGAACTGACCGCAATTCTTCAATCTAAAAGTTATTGGTAAAAAATAGTTCTGTGACAGGCAGTTTAAAGCTCAATAAACAAATATTGCTTTTTAGCATATTAAAATAAAATTTTATGCATTTTATGCAATTTAGAACCTCGGATATATGTTCATCATTTCCAGTTGCCACACTTTAGCACAGTTATATGAAATTACTAATTCAACTTCAAGATCAATAGAAGCAGTAACTGTGTTATTAGTAGTAGAAACGATTAGATACAGGAAGTAAAAGAAAGTATACGAAAATTTCGAAACTCATGATCTAAGATAAGTTAAAGAGTTAATGCATTTACGTGTACATTAAGACCTACGTAAACAAAAATGAAGATAATAGCACTTACGTGTATACTTCTCTTCACACTGTAATTATTAATGTGAGCGGTGTCATACAGATCTCTGTTAGACGCATGTTTAGTTTTGCATTGAAAGTTAAGTATAATTCAAATGTAAATCAAGGCAGCATTCATAAGCTGTATAGCTGTACGGACTACATGTACTGTTTGTAGGTAGAGAGTGTTGAGTAGTTAAGCAATGTTGCCTACAGTTGTAACTCAACAGAGTAGTGCCCAATAGAATTTAATTTGAATACCATTTATTAACTGACTAAAACACACCCGTTAGTTCTTTTAAAAATAACCAGGATTTCAAATGTCTCTGCATTTTCATTGATGAAGGAAATGGTTCAAAAATGTTATCCATTCGGAAAAGCGTGAGCAAAAGAGCGCAGTTAAAAAGAGTGTACATAAATAGGGGTGACTATCAAAAGGCTGATCAACAAAACGGCTCATAATAATGAAGGTGATCATTGAAGAGAGGGAATAACGTTTTTAATGGTGTGAAATATGTTTGATTTACCTTCTGTTGTGAAAGACCTTCCTTAAACGAACAATGCGGTGAAGCGGTGACATAGAGGCTTCAGCCAACTTATTGGTATCTCTCATCCAAGGATATAGAAATTAATTGGTGCTCTGAAAAAGGATTAGAGTCTAAATAAACTGAAAATTAAACAGTTTAATCCAGGAACCTAGGAACAGCACTAAAAAAGATAGTATGAGGAGGTAACAGTACGTATCAATCTGGTTGTATAAAATTACAAAAACAGATCTACGTTAGACTATATACGTGGGATAGCAAACGATTTGGATATTCAAGTTTATATTTGTTACAATGTTACTGACATCTTAAGATGCTTGTAACGTTTATGTCTACATTAAATTGATGTTACCCGCTCTTGATGCTCGCTTTTGATTTATTATGTTTGATCAATTAATAAATTGCTGGGATTATTTTATCGTATTAAAAAATAACCTTTTCAGCGTGTGCAGTTGTCAACGTGTCGGAGAATCGGGGGCCGGACCTTAAGTGGTTACAGCGCTTACTTGCATAGTTACTTACGCCTGTTACCCCTCTTACTTGCTTGCTTACTTGCTTACTTACTCACGCTTGTTACTTCTAATGGAGCATAGGCCGCCGAACAGCATTCTTCAACCCACTCTATCCTGGACCTTCTTCTCTAGTTCCATACAATTCTTGTTCATTTTTCTCATATCTATCTCCATATCCCGGCGTAATGTGTTCTCTGGTCCTCCTCTTTTCCTTTGGCCTTGATGATTCCATGTGAGGGCTTGTCTTGTAACTCAGTTGGGTGCTTTCCCCAATGTGTGTCTTATCCACTTCCAGCGCTTCTTCCTGATTTCTTCCTCCACTGGCATCTGATTTGTTCTCTCCCACAGTAGGTTGTTGCTGATAGTGTCCGGCCAACGGATCCGAAGTATTTTACGTAGACAACTGTGAATAAACACCTGTATTTTCTGGATGATGGCTTTCGTAGTTATCCAGGTTTCCGCCCCATACAGTAGAACTGTCTTGACATTTTGTATTGAAAATCCTGACCTTGGTGTTAGTTGACAGTTGCTTTGAGTTCGAGATGTTCTTCAATTGTAAATATACTGCCCTTGCTTTTCCGATCCGCGCTTTCACATCTGCATCAGACGCACCCCTCTTAGTCTATCATAAAACACGAAATGTAGTACATAATTTCACTGATCACACTAAAATTGCATGATGATCGAGAAGTAAAGGGAAAGTAATAGAATAATAATAAAACAAAATGTGTCAAAGATCACTGTCCACTTAAGTAGTATGAGAAAGATGAAGAATGAATTAAAAACATGAAAGTGATGATAATAAATGACTAAAAATTAAAAACAATAAAATAAGGTCTCAGTAACCAACTGACTATACGTGAAAAATTACGTATTAGAGTCATGATAAGATGACAGCTTGAAGTGATGTTTCTGGACACTGCTCAGATTTGAACTGTAGAACTGCTACCGCCTCTGCAGCAAAATCACCTATAAGATATTGCGATATTGAAGCTGGACTTGTAAGCAAACTAATTTGAAACAAACCGTTTCAACGTTTTTACCTGTTAAACATAAATCTGAGTATGATTTTAACTGGAATAAATGATAATCTGACATATATACATAATAATCCTATGTTAATAATAACAATTGCATAAGATCCACCTAATATGTTCCATCTGTATATCTAATTAATATTAAATGAAACCTAGTCATTTTTTGGTGGAGTTTTGTTCTCTGAGCTGGACGGTTTAGTCGTGGAGCCTTCATCGTTCTTCTGAACGACATAATCAGTACAAACTTCTACCTGAAGTTCAGAA